GTGGGGTGAGAATAGGTGTGTCGTAAGAAAATATAGCTATAATAAGAATACAAAAATATACCCTTTATATTTTTGGTCCCTGCTAAGATAAATATATTTGGTGGGCTCGTCTGTATACATCTTCTTTCTTTTAAAATGAGCACTGCAGAAGTTCAATATTTCTGGCAGTTAGGGTAGTCGGCTTCAAAAATTAATTTATAAAAATAAATCGACAAAACATTCGGTGGATGTAATATTATTATATTATACGAAATAATTATTTAAGAACTCCATTGCATTGTTATCGTATTATTCATATTTATTGAATAATAGAAAAAGAAATTAATAAATGTACTTCCATCAATTATATACCTATACCTTTTTATTCATAAATACATAAATACAAGCATACATAATAAGTTTTTATTATAAATAATATATTATTAGTATTATTATATTTTTACTGATGTACATGAGTAAACATTTTTACATTTTTTATCTCTTATAAATTTTTGTTTGCTTGTTAGAAAAGAAATTACATTAGTTATTTGTCACATTTTCTGCAATCAATATAGTTTTTGTAATTCTATCATTTTAATTAATATATTTTACTTTTAAATTAGATTTTATTATTCAGTACCAAAAACTTTTGAAAGAAATGTTAATTTTAAAATAAAAAACGTATTTGATTAAATGAATACTAAAATGCGATGAAAATATACACAATTACTTTATGTTTTAACTATCTTAAATACGAGTAAAAGTATCTGATTTACATTACCGATGTAAATTGAATCGTTACCTATATTCAATTTTTTTTTTTAAATATTTATAATATATATATATATGCTAATGGATTAACATTATTGACTAGTCATTTTTTAATCAAGAAATTAACTATTAGTCACTTATTCATAAGAAATATAGTGTGTATGCGCACCCAAATACACACATTTTATAAGATCTTGGAACGTTCTTTTTAAATTTGAATAAATTAAACATAAAAATATCTATATTTTATATAGTTAATTAATTTTTTATTTAATACAAAAACTATTGATTGAACTTAAACTTCTAATTTTTTTATTATTTTACATATATATAATATAAGCATTATCTAAAAATATATAACGCATGATACAAATACTGAAAATTGTAATTTAATGTATTACCAGTGTTTACGTTAATTAGTTATAGATTTAAATTTTAGTTTAACATAATACATATAATCAACGAACGTATGTTGGAACAAAAATGATTAATTATGGTTATAATTGTGTGTAAGCATAACAAATTATCTTGTTAAAATGATGATACGATATCATCACAATATCTTTTATAATTATGTTTTCTGGTATATAAGACAATATAATAAATAAATATAATTTATTTTTACATCACTAAAATGTTGTATAAAGTTTTTATACGGTTAAATAACTCTGAATAGATAAAAATGTATCAACGATTGTAAAATAACTTTCTTGAAAAGTTTATAAATACGTTTAAAATAAAATCTTAAAAACTTAAGAAAATTATAGTATTCATACACTCTAAAAGAAAATTTTTTTAAACTTTTCACAAAAATAAAATAATATTTTATTTCAAAATTTTTACTTCAAAAAATAAACTTATAACTATTTCCACAAATCGGTTGAGTTATCATATTTTCTTATGCTGTAATACAATATAGTTATATTTTTAACCACACAAAATCATAGGCGTGCGCAGGAGGTATGCAGGGTATACAGCTGCATACCCTGAACACATAGCCTTGCTATCCAAAGAACAAAAATTTGCTAACCGAACTACTATAAAGAGATTCATTTATATTTTTTATATTTTCATTTTATATACCTATTCATTTAATACATTTATATGTATTAAGTAAATACTTTAAGTGCAATCAAGATAAATTGGTAGCCGTAATATATTAGAACAAAACAAATTGAAGTCAACTGTGATGCTAAAATATTTTGGGTTTGACTTTAATGGTTAAAATAATTTGATAAACATTGTATTTTTGAACTATTTATTATTCTGATAAAGAAATTTGCAGTAATGTCACTTACAAGTTATACTTGTAAGCGATCATTTACTAAATTAATATTGGTGAAATAAAAATTAAGAAGTACTATGCTTCAAGAGAGATTAAATAGCTTAATGCTTTTAACTATAGGGCAAGAAATGACTAAATATGTAAATCTTGATGGCATTAATGATGATTTCAAAAATTCGACTTAAAGTAGAATTATATTATGATCAATTATAATAATTTATAAAATTTATTTTGTTTTTTCATTGAAATATGATTAAGTATATTTTTGTTCAAATATTTTTTGAAATTTAGATATTTTCAATTATATTGGAGAATAAATATAGTAATTTTTATATTTAAAATTAGTTATAAATGTTACCTAAATTAATATATAATATATTATAGATAAGTGAAGGAAAAATGAAAAAGCCGTGGTTACATATTATAGTAAAAACAGAAACGTCACGGACTTATTAGGTTTGACTGTAATTCAAGGGATGAAATTATTTAATTTTCACGAAGTTAGAATTTTTTTTATTATATATTTCTTCCAACCTTTATGAATTTTTATATAAAAAATTGCAATTCATTTTTTCTAACAGAGCAAAACTTTTCAGTAAAACAATATAACTAATTTAGTTTTTTTATTATTTTAAATACTTTTTATTTTCTTAAGAGAAAAATCTCTTCCTAAATTTATTTATTTATATCAATTATTAGAAATTTGTTTTTAATACTCACGTAATTTATCTAAAAATATTTATGCAACGAGTTCTCTATCCAAGCTTAATTTATATACTTTAACCCATGGTATTATTTTCAATAGCTTGACGATAGGAAAAATCCCATGACTCATCAATCATCTTACAATAAATAAATAAATAATTCATGCTATTTATCATCACACACAGCCTCATGTGTATTTCCTATAAATTAAAATGTTTTCAAAAAATGTGTACATGTCATATTTCTTACGCTACCTATTTGTAACCATATAAAATACAGTATTCATTTCAGATAATACAAATATATACTTTTTTTGTTTTGACGTCATATGAACAACAAAAAAAAAAACTTCTAGGTATTCTTTTTCTAGTTTTTCTTGCGTTGATATAATTCATAAAATTTCTAAAACGGAAATAAAAATAAAGAAATCATTTTGCGCTTGTATTTTTAAGACCATATGAATATTTTATTTTACTCCTAGTTTGTTTCATTTTTTTCAAGTCAGAACCCGGGCTCAAGTTATAAATATTTAACAAAGGGGCTTTTGCTAGATTGAACTCATAATTTTTACGAAAATCCCAGTTGGTACATCACTGCGTTAAAATAATGAATATCATACATTATCTAAAGATGTACAGAAATTATTTTCATGCCTTCCAAGGTTAATCTCGATTTTAAAAGCTTTTATTTAAGGAATCTCTTTAATGTTCTTCTTATTAGCAAAGAATTTATACACAAAACTTCATTTATTTTTTATAAGGCCATAAAACGTGTAATATTTATTTTTAAATTGGAAAAGTAATTGTATATAATTCGTGCATAGATACCACTACTGATTTAATTAATATATACCAATTAAAAAATAATTTTTCTTAAAAATAATTTTAATAACATAATGATTCCCCTTATTCGTATTCTAATGATATTATTTTAATAGCCAGAACAGGTAAACGCTTAGTCCTTAATTATTGTTTGTATTATCACATATTTAATCAGTTAATCAGTTGTTCTAAAATTTCTTTTTTTAGATACCCGTTAATACTTTAGTTGCAGGAATTTATAAATTTTTTTTTTATTCTTCATAGCGTTGCGTTTTGCATTTTACTAAATTTTTTCCATTGAAACGAGCACCATTCAACATTTTCAATATAGCTTTTAATGCTTTTTCAAGCTAAATTCAAAATAAATGTCTTCTTTGTGGCTTTGTCTCTATTTATTTTTCTATTCTAATATTCCGAGATATTTATAGTGTTTATAATTTAGTTTAAAAAAATGAGAAAACATATGTTGTATTAAAAAATATAGTAAAATAGCCTAGTTTCCACAACCTATTATTTAAATATTAATATTACTTATATTAATACTTAAGAATTATTTGATGACATTACAGTATTTCTCTTCGCTATTTTGGTTAGCGTAATCATACGTTTATATTGAAAAATATTTTTTTCGGTTTATTTTCACAACAAAGAGACACTTAAATTATAACAAGTTAATTCAGTAGTTTAATAATAAAATATTATAATTGGATATGTAGGAATCGAAATGATTTCTGTTTTTATCTATATTGCAATTAAAAAAAAGGTTATTAGAAATCCTTTTAATTTAAAACATAGTACAAAATATTGACGATTAAATACATTTTTTTTCATAAAAATCATTAGAAGAAAAAAATGTATTGTTTTCCTCAGAATTACTAATATTTGAATTTTGCTAGGTATAGTGTTTTAATTATTTATTTTAAAATCACGCGTTAAAAAACTACTAATTAAATTTATTCTCATTATTTCACGAGTTGATTTCATTGAAACGAGTAACTTTTTTTTATAAATGTAAATTCACTTTTCCTTTTTTTAAATAGCTCATAGGTCTACACGTCATAACATAAAATTATTTTTTGTATATATTTTAATAATATTAAAATTAAAATAATTAATTATATTTTCTCTATATAACCTTGATAGGTATTTCATAAAATATATTATGTACATTGCCACTTTTGATATAAATATAAATATCACGCAAGTTATATTGTGTGATTTACTCGTATGGTGATCAAAAATTTTAAAAATTATTTCTATATTTTATAATCGAATTTCATGTGCGTCTATTTTTATTAAATCTAACAGCTATTGTTAAAGCTAATAAACTTGTTTAATATATATATATATGCGTGTACAGGTGATTTATTTGGTTAAAATAGGAAAATAAGGAAAATATTATGAGTACAGTGTTACTATTACTTTTATTATTTTTTCAGACTTTAATCAAGATGGTAAACCAGACAATATAAGCTTCATGATTAAGAGGGTGAAAGTGCACTCCAACCCGGACCCTTCATACAAGTTCCTGGGGAATTACGGCGTAGAGAAGTTTTTAGAAATATTTTCGGGTAAGTCGAAAAATCAACTTATGTTACATATAGATATTTCAAAGGTTTTGTTCTTTGTAAATTTTACATTCAGAAAAGAAAACATTACTGCAGGATATAAAGTGATTCTGCTATAGCTACTCAATAGGTATTTTTACGCTCTAAAAGGTCAACACAAAAGACCCTTTAACACCATCAGTGCCATTTTTATGCATTTATTTTTACGTCTAGACTGATGGGCTTTTGTTTTTTTGATCTTTTTTTCTCATTTAAAATTCCATTTATAAAAGCTGCTTCAAAAAGTACCGCAAACGTTACTTAATGACTTTAGAAGAGTAAAAAAAGTTTCATATCCTTAACTTATATCGTCTCGGTACAATGAAAACAAATTTTAAGGAAACAGACGTTGGTGATAAGTCGCTGTTAATTCTTAACGAAATGAAACGTATTATTAAAAAGAGTAGGTAGATAGTTTTCATCTGTATTAAACTTTGAAACATTATATCTTTGTTTGAATCACGAATTATAACGATACGAAATTAAACACAATGTCAATTTATTATTGAGATAAAATCTTTATCAAAGGAAATATACTAATTATATATTAATCATTGAGAAAACAATACGAGTTACCTCTGACCTAGAGTTGTAAATAAGTCGAGATTTGCTAGGGATAATTATTTTTGTAGTCGTCAAGTTCAAAACCTTGAATTTATACGTATGTGCAAGTATAGATTTTATATAGCAACGAGTTTAGTGCATGTAGAAAACTGTTCTAAGTTAAGAAGCAATTTAAAGTTTGCAAACTTATATTTACTACAATAAAGTAGATTTTTACTTTTACATGCCTACGCACTGTTTACCTAATACGTATGAAAAACCTTGAAATGAAAATGACGTGTCAAACATTATCATACTTACGCTATACATTTTACTACATAGTATATTCACTATAAAATATAAAATAAATGTTTTAAAAAAATTAGATTTATTTTTATTTAATTCATAAAAATATACGAATAGAAGTAAAAAAGTAATTACGCCTGTATTCTGTAATTGAAGGTATCTTGTTAAATTAAATTTTATAACATTGATGAGCAACAATATATTTTTCTTAGTTAATATTAATGAAAAAGTTGACAGTTAACACATTTTAATTAAAATCTATGTTACTTTCTTCATATTAAATTCATAATTTTTACATTTTCAATTAATTTTTAATCAATAGGTTTACGTAATATTACTATAAAATAAACAGTAATAATATTATAATAATATAAAATATATATAAAACGTTTTGTTGAAATATTTTAATTACTATATTTTCTGTACCTATTGTAAAATTTTAATTTTAAATCCATAAAACTAATCCTTTAAAGCTTAAAATTTTCCTTTGTATTAAAGTATTCCTACTTGTATAACACCCAGTTTAACATAAGTTTTTTAAGTCAACTAGATCTTTTGACATAAGTTATATCTTTTATACCTTGTTTATTGATTAATTTAGTATAGTATAGTATATAATAGTAATAGGAACTTTAGAATTACATTCAGTTATTTTTCGAAGGCAATTATTTATCACTAATTTTAAATCCGTAATGAAATACCTACATTACTGTTTGGTGTCGAAATGAACAAAATAAAACATATATTTTGCATCCAGCAGTCATTTACTTTTTTCTTTAATGCCAACTGTTACGAAAACGGTTTGGTATACGGATTACCAAGCTAATCTATGTGTTTTCCTTTCTTTCAGTGTAATCTATTTCGCCATAATTCTTATTTTTTTATTGTATTTTTGAACTTTTGGAGTCTTTCTTTTTCTTAGAATATTCAACTTTTTTGTTATAATAGTTTATTATTATATTATTAAATAAAATGTATACTAATAAAATTGAACGTTTAAAAATTATAAATTATATGCTTGGTTTTCATTTTTTATTTTTCATAATAGTTGTATACATCTTAACAGCTAGTATAAAAATAATGAGGAAACCGAACTTGTTTTAAATAATAAATATTTATCTTAATAAAAATCATTTATTGATTTACGTTGTAATAAAAATTGAATACAGTTTAAATTAAAATTCTATTGATGGTATTATAATAGGTATATTTGCAAAAACATTGGATTTCAGAAACACTTATACTTATATAACTTAATATTGGTGTACTATATTTACATGTATTAATAGTTTGTGAATAATAAAAACTTTAAAAAAAATGTATTCATATATATTCTACTTTTATTATTTTAGAGGAAGATTACGATGCATTTTGTTTGGCGTACATGTTCACCTACAGAGATTTCGAAATGGGTACTTTAGGTTTGGCATGGACTGGTGATTTGAAAAATGCTGGTGGCGTATGTGAAAAGAACGGGGTAAGTAATTCTACTGATGGTTTAATTTATGGAATCAATTGTGATTAAATTTGTTTTAGCATTATCGAGGTAGCTTAAAAAGTTTGAATACTGGTATTGTAACTCTTTTGAATTACGGAAAACATGTACCTTCCGCAGTATCTCATGTTACTCTCGCACATGAAATTGGTCATAATTTTGGTTCACCTGTACGTATACCATTTAAATAAACTTTAATAATTATGTTTTAATATTATCTTTATTTTATCTTAACTAATTTATAGCACGACCCCGAGGTATGTACACCTGGTGGAGATGATGGTAACTATATAATGTTCGCCCGAGCTACTTCAGGTGACAAGAAAAATAACAATAGGTTTTCCCCGTGTAGTTTATCTGCTATAAATCCTGTATTAAACGTTAAGGCCAGGAGTACTAGAGGATGTTTTACTGGTATAAAATCTCAATAGTATTTTTTTAATTTTTTTAATTACAATATAACTATAGTCAATTGTTTATATTTTCCAGAACCACAAACATCAATTTGTGGAAATGGCGTTGTAGAACCCGGTGAAGAATGTGATTGCGGATGGGAAGAAGATTGCAAGGATGCATGTTGCTTCCCACAAAGGAGATATGCTCCAGCTCAAGAACCACCATGCAGACTAACGCCAAATAGTATTTGCAGTCCTTCACAGGTTATTTTTTTGAATTAAAATATTTCTTCTGAACAGGCGTATATGTTTATTTTACCTTTAGGGACCGTGTTGTACAAATGAATGCAGTTTGAAAATAGGCGATCTTTGTCGCAATGATAACGGATGCCGTGATGCAAGTTACTGCAATGGTTTAACTCCTACCTGTCCTGCTTCTATAAATAAACCCAATAAAACAGTATGTAATGAAGAGTTTGTTTGCTACATGGGAGTGAGTATCGTTTTAGTTTATTTTTTACAGTTCTCAATTACTATTATTTCTTCATACTTAATTGATTATAATTTAGGAATGTACTGGATCAATATGTCTTGCTTATGGATTAGAATCTTGTCAATGTTTACCTACCCCACAAGACTCCCCTACTAAAGCATGTGAATTATGTTGTAAATTGCCTGGTGAAAATCAACCTTGTTTGTGAGTTAATTGTTGAATAATATTAGAATATAATTCTTAATCTTGTATATCTAACTATTTTTTTAGATCATCTTATTCTTGGAATAACGTGCCATACGACATACCAGATATGTTCTCTAAGCCGGGTACCCCTTGTAATGACTATAATGGGTATTGTGATGTATTTCAAAGATGCAGAGAGGTATGTGAAATATATATAGTTAACTAGTATAAATATTTATGAATTATCACCTAATTTATGAATATTGAAAAAATGTATATAAAACTTAAGGAACTATATTTAAAATCTAATTTGATTTTGTATTATTTAGGTTGATCCATCAGGACCTTTAGCAACATTACGTAAACTTTTGTTATCTGAAGAAAGCATCGCTTCTTTTAAGAAATGGGCTATTGATCATTGGTACTATTCGGGCCTAATCGTTGTCTCATTCTTATTGATGCTAGTACGTTAAAAAAATAATATTTACACTTATTCATTAATTTAATGATAAATGATAATTAATTTAAACTGTGTTAAAATTATTCGTAATTTAAAGTGATAATAACTTTATAATTTATTTTTTTCATAAATTAATTTGCGTATAAATATGTTCAGGTTGTTCGGAATTCACATTGTAAGTCATTCTGCGTATAAAATACCAATCCTAAAACTAATCCAGTATTTACCTACTTATTAACCTTATCCATTTACTGAATTTAGACTGTGTTATATTTCATAGACTTAGAAGCCTTAAATTAAAAACATTTTAAATACCTTTTACATTTTCAAGTACCACGGTGTTAAACGTAAAGTAACAATTTATTAAAGTCTAATATTATTATTCGCTATTGTTTAGGTTTTAAGTACACGGTTGTTTGGAAAACGGTCGGATCCAAAATTAAAATCGGTAACGATCATTCACAGCTCAACCACAGAAACTGTTCGCTTGCCAGCTGATGGTGACAATCCAAATGTTACCGTTCATCCTGCAGCTGTACGTTCAAAACTTCCGCTGAAAAAACGTGTACGTGAAAAACGTAACGTCTACAACAATAACAACAACAACAGTCCTGCCAAAAAAAATCGTAAAAAAGTAACAGCGGAGGAAGAATCTACTACAGAAACGTCTTCTCCCAAAAAAGTTGCTCAAGCTCAAAAGAAAGAGCGTAAAATGAGGAGGAAAAAATCAAAAGGCGTCATCGACTACAGTGTTGCTCAGAATAACGTACTAATAGCAAATAAGAAAACGCAAGAAGATGATCCGTTAGGCAAAGTTCGCAATTGGTTGTTGAACTCTCATCATATCGAAGCTCTCGGTACGTTGAGAAAGTCTAAATCGTCGCCTGCTGGTTTCGCGAACCCTCCCGAACCACCTAAGCCTGTGCCTAAAGCTCAACAAAAAACCAAAGACAATCAAGTTAGTTTACAAGTAGTTTACAAGCCGCCGTTCAAATTTAGCGTCAAACTCAGCAAGTCTAAACCAGATTTGACGAAAGACAAACGGCCGGATCGCACCAAACAACGTGCAGCCCTATTAATCCGAGCCAACCGAGCACATGGTGGCGTCAAAGCGATGAAAAAAGTCAACCGGTTACAGTCAGAGCCAAAGAACGCCGTGGTCAAGGAAGAACCCATTTACGAAAATGCGGCCATCGACTTGCTGCGGATGTCGTCTACGGAACACGACGGCCATCAGCCAATTTTCCCAGTAGCTGCTTCGCCCCCGAAAAAACAGAGAAAGTCGTTTGCCGGCATGGACGTGAAAAACGAAGAAACTCGATCCAAAAGGAATAGTGTTCCGCAACAATTGCTGCAACCGAGCACGTCGGGCAATAACAATCTGATGCGATTTCCGTCAACGGAAAACAAAAATAATCCTACGTACGCTAACATGAGTAAATCTGAAGAAAATCGAAAAGATGAGAAAACGTGATATATGATCAGGTAACAGTTTATTTCTTCTTATGTTATTTTTTTTTTTTCAAAACAGAATAACCTGAATAAAAATCCTTTCATGATCTCAACCCATATTTTCCTTTCATTTCTATTTTGATAGTAAATAGTATTTACCTGAAGAACAATTTTTTATTCGATTTCAATGCGCATTCAATACATTCGGTGGTTACAAATTTAATTTTTTTTTTCAATTTTCGTAACCCTAGTACTTTTAAAATTTTAAAGACTCACCAATTACTTAAAATTATTCTAATTTTTGTATAGTTTTGCTTAAAGATAATAACAGAATTAACACTGCCAATAAAGTTGATCATTTCTTAGTAATCTTCATTTTTAAATATTCATTCATATCCCGAAACGATTTCAAAATATAAAAATTCAAAAAACATATTTATTACAAATATTTTGTTATAAACAAGACTACGGTAATTTATTATTAATAAATGAGTTTCACTCCTCATTCTTCATTTCTCTACAAGCTGTTTGTTTTGAGAAATGGGTTTGAAAAATTGACGGACCTTTTTTTTCTCAATAAACTAACCAATAATAATATATTATAAAAACCTTGTTGCCATTATTAACCGAGTTTGGCAACCTTAAATCATCCACGTTGACTTTGATTTAATGTTTTGAACAAATATTCAAATCAGTATTATTCACATCATATAATTTTAAGAATTAATTGATGTAAATTAGATATATAGATAATTATTTTGTTTTACAAATATGTATTTATTATTTATAGAAGATCTCTTGTTTTAATTAAGTTTTTTTTTTAATAATACGAAGGCAAGAATGCATGTTCTGTGTACTGTTGCCTTGTATAATAGGAACAAACCTCGCCTTTTTATTTTATAGTATTCAATGAAAATCTGTGCAATATTATAAAGACAATGAATATTTTTAACTTTTTATATCAGTATTAAGTGGTTTATTCTAATTCTATTATTACATGAAAACTAATAAGGAGTCTTCCATTTAAATTTGTTTTCTTTCTAAATAGTTACATTAAGTTAAATGTAAACACATTTTTATTTTGTTTATCGTTACTACTTTGTTGTGTTATTATGATTGAATAATCTCACATAAAATTTTTAACCAAAACAATGAAAAACAAAAGTTTAAGAGCTGCTATGTAATAAATTAAAATTGTATATGCAAAATTATTTTATTCCAACGACATTGGATTTTATTTCCTATTTTAAAATTTTCCATACAAAACTTCCATTATTTAATACTTACAATTATTACATTTAATAAATGATACTTGCCAAATTAATTTTTAATATTTCAAAATATAAACTAGATAATTAAATTTTTTTTTACTTGAATCATGTGAATATCATAATATATTCATGATTAAAGAATAATTAATCTTAATGATTAATTTTAAACTAAAATTTTACTTTCTTCATTACATTTCCAAACCATCCTCAATATTTTTACATTTGTTAATATTTTTTAACTGATACACTCCTTAAAGTATTACATTTTTCAACAAAATATTTAAATTTATAAAATAATGGCTGTGTAAATTGATAATTTTACTCCACTAATCTAGCAAATAATACATGTATATCAATGACAATGTTAATCATGTATTAGTTTCTTTCATTTCATTGAATAGCTCAACATTATAAACTATTCTTATTGTAAAACCGTTTAACCATCTTATTGAACGTTTTGAGTATTTGTGAAATTATATTTGTATAAAAACAATACAAAATTATTAATAATAATAGTTATTCCTATTAATGAATACTTGACTCTTATACATATTATAAATCTCAGATTTATTGAAGATTTATTTAAAAGAAATTCTACTATTTGTGAATAATAACATTAACAACAAGTAATAAAAAAATGGTTCCACAAAAAAAAAATACAATTTAAACCATTTCTAAATGTTTAATTTTTTTAGTCATAAGGTTAATTTGAAAATATAAACTAACATGTTATGTATCCATAACAATTTATTATTCCTAATCACTATGCTTTTTTTTCGCATCCCACCCACTATACATTCTTCAGTGCCAAGATGTATGGTATTGGTAATGTTTTTGCGTGTGTGTGAAAACTATTAATTGTGTTAAATTTATATTGAAAACTATTATGTAGATAAAAAAAAAATTGTGTGACAATAACTATTGTCTTTATAAGCTTTATAGTTTTACCATGTGTATTATGTTGTAATTATTTATATTTAATCTCAAAAATGTGAAATATGTTGTATTTATTTAAGTAAGCTTCAAAATGTGTAATATCTACATTGTATTTATTATAATTACTTTTAAAATTTTTGTTAACCACTGATTATGCTTAATGGTGATATATTATGTGTAACCATGTGAGTTTAGTTTTTAGAATTTTTTTTTACACTAACCAACCGATTTTACTATATTTTTTAAATGATATGTTTCAATTATGCAGTATTGTGATTTGTTAAGTTGTTTAATTTTTTTATTTTTTTTTTCATTTAATATTATTTTAAGATTTCATACTAAACAAAATGTGATACCCTACTTAAATAAATGTCCAAGTCCAACCATCTAAGTATTTTTTAAAACCAATAAATGGATTATACTTACCTAAATTCGTGTGGTTTTTTTTTGTCTTTATGAACGGTGTACAAGTACTACATTTACGAGGCGAACGATTCTTGCATTTATATTTGATGACCACTGTATCTATAACTTACCAGAATGTTGAACTATACTAAATTATTTAAACTAATGTGTCAACACAAGATGTTGACATATCGGTACACCTACATATTGAAATCCTAAACGGATTCATGCTAATCCCAACTTAGCGCAGTGCAATATTACATAATAGTGGTGGATACCAATACTACGTGTGAGTGCGATATAGAGTATAACGAGACAGCATAGTCTCGTGCATATGTCACGTGTGTGCGTCTCAACCTGACGGAGTACTAAAGATTTACGAAATTGATATTAACGATTAATCTGTTAATAATCAATAGAGCGCGCACACAGTAAACAATCCGTCAGTGCGGTCGGATTGTTTATTATACTTATAAGATTATCAAGATAGCGTGGCGGTCGTCCCGCACGTTATTCCTACTGTACTGTATAGTATTCACGGACATCGCTGGTAACTGGACATAGAAAATTCTTGTGTATAAGATCAACGAAATGAACCATAATTAACTTCCCCCGGTATCTGTTTGTATTGTTCACCGATAATACGAATACGTTTGTTCTACGTAAACCGTATTATACGTACAGCCTAACAATGCAAATTTATAAGGAATTTTCACTGGGCGATAAAAAATGTTTTTCTCAAAATAGTCAATGTAATACCATGGTACGATTATAGTATTACACGTTTATTTCACATTATTTCACCCAATCTTTCAAAATATTGTCGATAGAGTATAATCACTGGGCGACATTTGTGTCGTCTAGTTAACTAGTTAATAAATGCACTGCAGTCTAGTGCACAGACAATGAGACCAGGGGTGGATCCGAAGTCAGGGAACTGTGAGTCAAGCCATTTCAAGAGGCCGTTTATTAGGGATGAAACTGAATTAGAAATTAATACTTTGTAAAAAAAAAACACAATATGCTCATAAAAGTGTATAAGTTTATTTATATTACATTTTAGAATTAGTGATACCACCGATAGTGACTTATTTACGATTAATAAATATAATCTAATTTTATCAGCGCAACAAACGTACAGAATAAAATATGATTTACTTAACTTTCTACTAAAACGATATAATTTAAAATATAAATTATGAATTGAAAAATTTTAAATTTTGAATGTACATGGTATTCATTTTTCAAGTAACTCCGATGGGCCAACTGTCCAAGAGTCCAAATCAAGGTCTAAAAAAAGAAAAAAAATTTCCAAGAGGCCAATTTTGTCAACAAATATTAACTGTGGGTCAGCTGACCCCTTGAACCCACCCCTAGATCCGCCCCTGAATCAGACCCTTAACCCTTGTTGCTCAACAGCCGCCGTACGGATTGTCGCCGTCAAGTACAACGGAGATCGACGTGCACTTTAGAAACCACCAGGAGGAGTCAAGGAGTCGTCACTACTGATCAATTGAGCCGTCGCCGTCTGAGTTTGAACGAGCCACCACCAGGAAGAGTGCCCGCTCGACATCTGTATCCGAAGTTTCCTGACGTCATTTACCTGCTGGCATTACACTGAACATTACCGTGGTCCGCAGCGCTGTGATTTCCCGACATACTGTATGTCAGTGCTTACTAGATAGTCGTTCGACGCTACCATCATAGGTTACGCTATATTTTAGCATAGCATACTGTGAGTACCACGTTGATAATTGTGTAAATCTTCTACTTCGTTCACTGACATAACAGCATTGTGAGTAGCCCGAACTATTATCTGAATGTTGTGAATCATTGTGAACTCGGTAACGAGTAATGTTTATTATAAATGTATACTTATATCTCTCTTTCTTATTATATTTTGAGATGAATATTTATTATTATATATTGTTAAAATTGTAAATATGTTTTTATTATTCAAATAAACTTAACAAAATTAAGAATGCGTATATCGACATCACGTAAAAGAGGGATCAGGATTTTTAATTATCCTTGGTGAGAATTATTAATTACATGTTGCAACTTCCATGAAAATATAATTAGTGTGGTAAATATTAAGATTGTTATCGATCTGTCTGTTAACGTGTTTGTTTAAAATTCTTATAAGTGTTGTATCTATCAATAGTACGCCCTATCTCGGAATTAGGTTTGATAGTTTGGAACCATCGACCAACCGGCTTAATCGATAAAATCGACAAAATACAAAGATTCTCATTAGAATGATTGTTTTTGAACTAAACTCATGTGATTCGAAGTATAGAAACAGTGTAAGATAGGTACCGCCTTTAAGCATTAGATGTGATTTTAGTGATTGTTTATTTTTATACAAGATATTGAATGGAACCATAAACTGCCCTGAGCTTTTGCGTCTTGATAACATCAGAGCCCTCCGGTTAATACTAGACAACGCATTATTTCACATTACAACAAGTAAACGTAACGTTGTTACCCATATTCCCATTTATAGAATTTTACAATATTGTAATGAACGTCTATCTGATTTTGGTTATTTTTTTTTATAATAATTGTGAGTTAAAAAAAATAATTATTTGTTCATTAATTGTATACTTGTTCCTCACCTATATACAACTCATAATACACACACACACACACATATATATCACCTACTTTACTCTTTGCCCTAGCGAGCGTTATTACCAATAAATATATGAATAAATAAATAATAACTGAACATTTAATATTTTGGAATACTTACGACATGCTAGACAAATATAAAATGTGTTTAATATTTTGGTGTGTGTTTATGTTATAGAGTATTTTTAAAAATCAATTTAACATTTCAGTTTAAAAACAGTTAAATATATAAATAAAAACAAATCACAAATACAATATACTATAGAAATTTTGATTATCTGTTTTATTACGCGATTTTTTCATCCTCTGTCACGTTCACATAAATCAAAAGTTATCATATACAGTCTATAATTAGAACATCCTATTTTATTTCATGTATATTTTAATTTTACGAACAACCGCAAATGTTTACTTAGTTCTTATTTTAAGGGTGTATTTTTTTGTTTACAGTTTAAACGATTAAAAAAATTGTCACAACTCACGACTGTTACAATTGTAATAACACGAAAATACAAAAGTAAAAAAATAGAGGAAAATAATATATATGTGTGTGAGGAGATGGTGGTGAGATAGTATGTATTTATGTATAATGTATTATGGGTTGATTGCCTTCCTGCTTGTTTAAGGGAGTGTTTTCGGGGCTACAAAGGTTCGAGAGCCGATCAGCGCAATTAGATAGTTTGGCAAGTCAAATAAAATAGCACTTACTTATATTGTAGCAGTTATTCGAATGACGACAAGCTGTGCACTTACAACTATCGCAGGAGTGCAATGAAGTTGAAATGAGACAAATACAGGATTTGGTATGCAGTTGGATACTTTTCAACACACGCATAGAAAACTCAAATCAAACAAATTAATTATAAAAGTTAAATATTCGTACACGGTGGTCACTTGTCACAGGATACTCCTTTTCTAATCTGACGGTCCGTGCGCACGCACTGACGACCAAAGATCAAGAGCCTGGGAAAAGAGTATTGTGTCCTTATTATATAGGGATATGGCCGGATGCATCATGGACTGATCGTTTCAAGATGTGACCTAATTATGATATCAGTGGAGTATTGTAAGGTTAGACTTTTATTTGATATGTGTTGATTTATTTTGTCCGTGCGGGTATCGAAAAAGCCGTAATTTATTATTTTTTTAAATGGTTTTAGATCATATGGTATACATAATTATAAAAGATTAGTGCAGTGTTTTACAGGCGAATGATATACATCATTACACAATCAAAGTGATCGTTTCATTTTAACAAGCTGTATGAGTACTTCGTATGAGTATCAATGTCATCTATCGTAACAGTGTTTTATTTTAATAAATCTTAAAATATACAGTATGTCCCATAAGTCCCGTATCACCCTTAATATCTCCATGGGAAATCTATATCTTTAAACACGATTTTTTTTTACAATACTTAGTATGGAAATTCTGATTAAATAGCATAAAATTAAAAAATTAAAAAAAAATTTTTTTTATGCATTTAAGAATTTTCAATTTTTAAGATAGCCATTTTCTTGGACATATTTTTTAAAACAGTTCAAAAAAATATATATTAAAATTGAATAAAAATTGACCAAGTTAGAGCAAGTTATGTTTTTGAATAATTATAACAAAAAAAAATTGTTTCACATTTCAATAATCCAGTGCTTTGGACACCTAGGTCGCCCGACTTGATACCAATGGATGTTTTTTTTTATGGGTTTATTTGAAAAATCTTGTGTATCCGTCGTGTTCATAGCCTGATCTCTGTGACAAAATTGAACAAAATATTCAAAATATTTTACCTGAGACATTAGAAAATGTTAAAAACGCTTGGGTCCAAAAAATTCAGCTCTGTCTGTGTTACAAATAATGGAGGTCACTTCGAACATTTATTAAAAAAAATGTAATGCATTATTTTCGTTTTTATGTAATAAATTTTTTTTTTTCTATTAACAATCATGTTTAAAAATATTATATAAATTTTAAATTTAATATTTTCTCAAAGCTCCACTAATAATTAGATATTTACAGATTTCCATAAAAAATCAACGTTCAAATCGAGATTGATTAAATCGAGCAATTTGTGTTTTGCTACGTAATAACTATTATTATAATTATTCAAAAATATAACTTGCTCTAACTTGGTTAATTTTTATTAAATTTTAATATACATATATATTTTTTTTGAACTGTTATAAAAAATATGCTCAAGAAAATGGCTATCTTAAAAATTGCAAATTCTTAAATGCTTAAAATTTTTTTTTGAATTTTTGAATTTTTTTAAACAAAAATTGAATTTTATGCCATTTAATCAGAATTTCCATACTTAGTATTGTAAAAAAAAAACTGTGTTTAAATATATTGATTTCCCGTGGAAAAATTAAGGGTGATACGGGACTTATGGGACACAATGTATATCTCAATTAAATTGATATTTCATGCAATTATACTGCAATACGGTATATTTTAATGATACAAATCAATGTTATATTTACCATGGTCCATATGTATTATATCTTATCATATAATATACCTGATTACCACAATAATAACCTTAAGAATTTGATAGTTGTATTTAAGGTTGAAGCTAGTATAGTATTTGTTTGCAAGAGTTTCAATTTATTGTGTATGTTTAGATTTATGTTTATAAAATAAACTCTACACATTTGCATACGGAGTAAACATTATATTACATGTGTTTTTTTTTTATGTACATTTTACTATTTATCGATTTTTTTTTTTTTACTACATGTACAGCATTTTAACTCAATTTATTAGTAAATAGTTAAATATTACCACAGCAATTGGTGTTGAAAAGAAATGTTTTCCTCTAATCTTAACAGAACAACAAAGTAATTTATTTCAAAATCAACAATTCGTAATCCTTCTTAATTTTAAATTAAGAACTTTAATTTTACTAATGGTAATTAATATGTTTAAAATGTTTGATTTTTATTTTATCAAGCTTTTTAGCGTTTTACTCGTTTGACCGCATAAAAAGAAAAAACAATAATTTACATCTGCACAAATTTTAAATTTCAGTGTGTATTGTTCAAGATATATAATTATGATATAATAAACATACTTTCGTAAATAATTATAAATGAAGTTTACACTCATCATAGTCTCATAAAATACATGTATTGTTATTAGCTTTCATTATCACGGTTTCATTAAATATATTACACTTACTTTTATTTAATTTTTTTACTTTCTATAAATGATATTATAATTATAGCGCGTAACGACTTGGGTCATTAAATAAATACAAAAAAAAAAAAAAAAAATATATAACACAATAATAACAAAAATAATGTTGTCGTATCATAAAATATAAATACAAAATACTCATTTTTTTTTATAATGCATTCGATATGTTTATGTTTAAAATGTTGAAATATGTGGTTTTTTTATATTTCGTTTCAAAGTTACCGATATCCACAAATAAAATGATTGTAATTCATTACATATCATTTAACATTTATTTCTTTAGATATTACGTATGACTGTATTTAAAAAAAAGGAAGTAAACACTAATAACTTAATATATATATATATATATATATATATAATATTAAAAGTAATTAAATACCGTCATTTAAATATTAATGACATATTTTTCTGAAAAACTCATTAAAAATTTCCTTTTTCTATTATTCTTAAATATACAGTAAATAGTTAATATTTTTAAACATTAGAAACGATTAATACATGTTTATTATTTAGAAAAGTTGTAATTATGTGTTTTCTTCGTCACATTCATCAAAATTCTTAGTTTATTCATTTCTTCTTCTCTCTCGCCTTTCCAAACTATTTGGGGTTGGCCAATATGCATAAATGTGTAGTTATTATGAAAAATTAAATTACATTGTTCCGAAACTTCTGGTTTCTATAATAATTTACGAATAATATGTTATATTTCTAAATACATTTTTTACTATTTTTTTTTTTTTTATCTATTCAGTGGCTTATGTAAAAAGAACATAAAAATTGCTTATATATATATTACGGAGAAAGAGTAATATGTAATCAGTAGGACCCGGAATTGTATGCATTTGCATATTTTTATATATTAAACTAAAAAGTAGCTAGGTAATACAAAAATTTGAATCTTAACCTAACGTGTTGGTATGCGAAATTAAATTTGGCATATTTTTGCATATTTGGAATATTTCAAATCATTATGCATATTTTAGCATTTTTCTGAAATTTAATGCATATATAGAAAAAAATATTACGAAGTTATTAATATTATTATTTACTACTTAGCGCATGTCCATCGTAAATTCCGTAGGTCGTGCAGTTATATAATTTGATTTTTGTGTTATAATAAGGTAAGATAAAGTTTGCTAAAAGTACCAATACGATAGTAACTTTCCAGCTAACTTTAAAAATATTATAAAAATCCACTTGATTTGTTTAAATTGATTTTCATTTTGAATTTTTGTTTAGATGATCGTGTTCAAAATACAATTTAATTTCAATACAACATACAGTTCTGTACAGTTGATATATTTTAAAGTATATTTTTTATTGAATATCAATTATTTAATGAATTGTATACATTTTAAAATTAAATAAATAATAAACATGCATTTTTAGTTGCATATATTCGTTTATTTTTGCATATTTTGAGTGCATATTTGAATGATAACTATCGCATAAATGCATGTATATTTCGTACGTTTTTAGTGAATATAATTCCAGGCTCTAGTAATCAGTATAGTTTTTTGGTTTTTAAATACTTTTGATGATTATAAATTGTTATCGAGTATAAATATAGGTTAAATTCTGCATAATAATACATAATAATATACACTGTAAATGCGTGAAGTAATTTAAGAATACATCTGTTTCCATCCAATCCACTCAAACTTCAAAATCGGAAACATTCGTTATTCGTCATAAGATCTTTTATTTTTATCTTTATAAATATTAATTTTAGAAATTGGTAGAAAAAGAAGTTGGGTACGGGGATATTCTAAATGAAAATGAGATAAAGAATTTTGTGAGCAGTGTGACGAAAATGAAAATTTTTTTGAGGTGTCCCTTAATATTATCTTATAATATATTAAAACACAAAAATGTTTCACCCATTAATAATTTCTTGAAATATAAATCTTATATAAACAGAAAAAAACATTACATAACAAAATAAACCCGAGTGTCTCGGACAAATAATATATTACAGTCTAAACTGGAGACCTAGGGAGGGTCTAGACCCCCTGAACCCCTCTCCCATAAAACTGTCACTGTATATCTTTACTGATTGTTATTTAATACTCGAACTGAAGAAAATATTTTAAACAAATCCAAAAATATTTTCGATACCATAGTATTTAAAATTTCAAATATGTATTGTGTTACTAAATATAATACAGATGGATAGTATGTACAGATGTACGAGTATGGTATATAAATAGTTATGAATTCGAAATTTCAATTATATCTAGATATAGTAATTGTATAGAATTATTTAATCTCATAAATTCAAAGTATTGTTTTATAAGTTTATGAATACGTAGAGGTTTTTATGGAAAATTATAACATTTTTGTTACTTGTGATACCCAAAATTATAATTAATATAATCAAACCAATTCAATCTGTTCATTGAGTAAATATAAAAAATTTTAAAATAAATAATTATCATAGATCAGTGATCTATATGGACATATTTAGCTGAACTAAGGACAATGATTATTGAGTATTTCTGTACCTACATGTGCTGTACCAGTTATACCCACAGTCAATTAGTTGCGACATATTCTATAAATTATAGATTCGATGACAATGTATATAATCACTATAAAACTCGTTCAGTGATAACCTTATCTAATATAATTTTTATGACTAACTATTATTCTGTTATGTAAGTTGAACATTGAATGATAAAAAATAATAATAAGATATGACGGTAGGACCTAAAGAATGCTTTATTGCGTTGAATACACTCTTGATTGTATAATATCGGTATTTCAAATTAATACATTTAGAAATTACTGATAACGAAGATAATTAGAATACGGTGTTAGCATCATGCTACCAAACATTTTATAAGCAAATATTGACTCTGGAATAAAAATATAACACAGTGGAATGTATACTCCAATTGGTCATCACAATAGTAAGTTATAGAAGTGATGGAGTATTCTACGTTGCTCCCCTTGGCAATATATAACCAGAACCGTCAACAACGTGTGATTGATACTATTAGAAAATGTATCCACGAAGAAATACACTGCGTTTCTCAGTATCTGTGTTAACAAACGCGTAAATTATAATCGTCTACTTCTTCGTGGAAAATAAATCGATAAATCGTCGCGCACTGAGTTTCGCCGTTCGTACATTGCAGCCTCGAGTAGCAACCTCTATCGATTCAATAAATGAATTTAAGACAATCGCATCCCTACTGGTCGTAGGAAGTATGGGCGAAAACCGAAGAGGAATATTCAGAAATTAACCAGACACAATATAAACTTTAGAAACATTGCGATTTGAACCCACAATCCTGCGCACCGTTATACAATTGCACGAGTAGGAACTGACCTAATAAATTTTGGTTTTAATTTTTAAAAACGATTTCAGGTGGTTTTTTGTTTATAATCGTGCAAGATTATTTTTACATACAAATCCATTGTTGTAAACAACAATTTCACAAAAAATATTAAATGTTTTCAAATAGCAATATAAATATGGTTACATTTTTATTCCGTGTTCTGAACAGATAATATCAGACAAAGGTGTGAGCAGACTTCTATTTCAAAGTATGCAAAAGTCTTCTTTAGGCTTAAACATCTTTTTTATCGGTTTTACATTATTTCTAAATATTCAATGCATTTAATTATTTTCATAACTTATTAAGTAAAGTTAATATAGAGATTAAATTTATTAATTAAATCTATTAAATTTAAATTTAAAAGTTACTCTTTTTTTATTAGATTGTAAAAATTATAAGTTAAATAGAAGAATTATAAGTCAAATAGAAAAAAAAAGTAATTAATAATAATTACGAACAGGTTTTCCATAGTTTGTTACTACATATAGATAAAAAAAGTTTACAGTAGTTTTATCATAGGATCACATAATATGAATGCATATAAATTGAGCGTATGTATCTAGGCTTTATAATTATATAATTATGTGAAAATAAAAATTACATTGAACAAAATTCAACGCCAAACCACTGATGATATTATCGTTACAATATCTATTGACTTCAAAACAACATTAAACTGGACTGAGTCGTGTTGATCCTTAATTTTTCAAATGCCTGCATGGTAGACGTAGATAACGTATCGATGCAAGAGCCATTCTCTTAATGCACAAATTTCACGCTAAGTTTGCCACGTATGAGTGTACCTACCGTATAAACATACAGTGTATACATTATCGTGGGCACTTTATTTTAAGTCTTATGCATTTAAGATGGTTATCATTTATTAGGTTTGGTAGCAACAATTTTGCAAAGAACAAATTTGGACTGGCAATAGAAATTCGTTAGTGTGGAAACATATAAGAAACTCAAATGGTCCAAATCATTTAATAGATGGAAAATCGATTTTTTCGAAATGCTTAAAGAATATTATAAAATCCACAAGTGATTGGACCGAAAAATAAAAATGAAAATGGCAAACGACAATTCAATATTTTAAATATAAAATCAAATATTCAGGATTGTAGTAAAGATGGACTGCGGAGTGCAACAATTAGAAGTATTAAATAATTATTTAATGTTAAAAACAGTAACAGTCTGCGCAGTGGCGCCGAGCTAAAATTAAATCGGTGAGCTAAAAATTATTTCCCATTACTCACCACCTATTACACGTATGTTATTTGTCGGTCGGTTGTTTATCCCTATTCCTTACAACCTCAGTGCAGGGTGAAGGGGGGAGAGGACAGCTGCCCCCCTCAAGGCAATTTTTTAAGGACGGAAATTTCTTAACGGTGAAATTGTTTTAAATTACTATTCTTAGTTTTGAAGTTTTATAATATAGTATAATTTTTAGGAAGAGTTATAAATTATTGAAAACTGTGTATAACAAATAATAATAGTAATATAATATTATATCATCTACCACAGAATTATCAGGTGAATGAGCGTTCAGTGTATTGCTAGTATAATCATATCATTATTGTAACGCTTGGAATTTTTTTTTTTTTTCGTTCGTCTTATCGTATTATTTTCGAGTATAAATTTTATACAATATGTTTACAGCAGTAAACGCACTGACACAAAATCGTTTTTATTGTAAGCCCGTATGGCTGTATTATAATTTATAACCATCAGATTATTAAATTTTTTTTATAAATACTTTAAATAATTTATTTGTACTACTAACCAAGAAATTGTTTTTATTATTATTTCGAGTCTCGTAAATTGTCAAGTCATATTTCCTACTAGCGGCTTTTCTTCAATTGATATGAGTAAAAAGCGCATAAAGTTAAGTGGTGCTTAATGTTTATACTAATAATTCTAATGTATTAAAACTACCGATGTTACGATATGTTTATATATATATGTATATTAATTAAACAGTTTTAACGCTGTTGTTATTTATATAATTTTTTTTGTGGTAGATACAATGGTACAATAGGTTTGTAAAGGGTGGAATTTTAATATCTTTCCCTATAGGGAACACATATATATATATGGGCGTCGTTCATAACGGTACACTTTCAAAAAGAGGTCGTTGTTCTAAACCGCACACTTTTATATCTTAATCCCACATATCGAGCCTCAATTCTAGACTATAATAACTCAAATTATGAAACTACTGGTTTTATAATGAAATAAACGACTTTTAGAGGTGAATAATGCAACCAAAAATTATTGCGTTATAGAATCGAAATCATCGTAATTTTGCAAATCATATCACGTAGATAACTCAATTCTGGATATTTATGAGTTATTGCAGTCTTAAACTGAAGCAATGATATGTTCGCCAAATTAAATCGTTCAATACCGCATACATTGATATATATCAATAACGTATATATTTATCTAAAATAACATTATCGTTTAGTACCGCCACTGAGATAAGAATATACTGGAGCGCGGACTTGGCCGAAAAAACGAGCCGTCGTATTTCACGTGGGCGTCGTTTATAACCACACACTTTCATAAACAGGTCATCGTTCATAACCGCACACTTTTATATCTTAATCCCACATATTTTCGCCAAATTAAACCGATCAATACCACACAAATTTATATATATATATATATATATCAATTACGTATACATTTATCTAAAATAACATGAGTGGACCTCAAGACCGAGTAGGATCACAGTTAAAAACGAAAATATCCCCCGATTTGCTATGCAACATCACCCAAAGTAGGTCCCAAGATAAAAAAAGATTTTGTATGGAACTTATACGAAACCGGCAACGTGAACTGTACATGCAAAGTGTGCAGAGAGAAAGGAGCTGTTAACCAAATGTGTGCGGTTTTCAACTATCAACCTTTCAAATTTCTCTTTTTAACAATAGAATAAATATGTGCGGTATTGAATGATGTAAAATGTGCGGTTGTGAACGGTAAGTATGCGGTTTTCATGTCCTCCGTTTCACGTTACCCCCATTCAGTGTCTCTACTACACACTATGGGGCTGGTATGCAAACCTGAATTTGGGGCCTAAATATTTTTCAAAAAGTATTTACCTACTTTAAAAAAATATGTTAACCGGTGCTTATATTATGGAAGGTAGTGGATCTTTAATTTTAAATGACCTGTATTAATGTAGACCTGCATTATTTTCTGCTATTTCAGTTCTAAGAATTAGTATTACCATAGGATTTTAAATACTTTAGTAGTATAATAGTACGTATTTATAATCAATGGTATTGCATTTTATCATTAGTAACAAGTTAGTAGTTGGGTATGTTATTTGATTTTAAATATTTAATAATATGATCAATTTGTTTTTTATATTTATCAATTTACTTCTGTTAAAATGTCACAACCAAATCCATAATAATACATCGTGTGGGGCTTATAACGGTTTGGGGGTCGATGTGTAATGCACACCTCGCACACCCGATAGTTACGGCACTGCCCCCATTCCTGTATGGCAAAAAATGTTTGCATATTACCTATGGGCTATGGTTTTTATTTTCCAAATATTAATACCTAATAAGTTAACAACATGTAGTCACTAAATGTTGTTAACTTATTAGGTAATATAATTAAATACAGGGAAAAACGACCCAATGACGAATTGTCACATTTTCTATGCGACTGTTAATATTTTAAATATATATTATTATATACAATATACTATATAATATTTTTATTTTATATGTTAATTCATTTTATTTAAAAGTTAATTTTCAAATATCAATTATTAATTACCTAAATACCTAATATTATAATTTAGTATAGCTTATTTTATGAATACGGCATTTTTAATTATTATTGTTATAATGTTATATCATCACTAGCAGATAGCAGCTTTTCTTTCAAGTAACAGTATCCATAACAGTAAAACAATAACACATTAACACTTTAACAATATATTTTATAACAAAAACATGAAAATATTAGGTAACAGTTATCAATTATCATTTATTTGTTTTCCATCCTACTAACGTTACAGCAGCTGCAGCTGCTCAGCTAGTGCTGCTGATAATAAATAACATCGTTATTCGTTAACCCAAAACCTTGGTTAAAACCATAGACATATTAAAATATCTGATATGTGTATTATCTTAATATGTCTATGATTAAAACGTCAAAATAAAAAATAACAATAACTGTTACTTTTTCTTCCAAGTAACAGCGTGTTCCTGCTACTTTAGTAGTAACTGTTATAAATCACTGTTACTGTTATTTTCTCCCATCACTAATTTAGTGTGATCGCGACTTTATTCGACTTCACGTACATATTTTCTAATAATTTAACATCGAATTCGTATAATGGATGACGTGATACAAGTGTATACAAATAATAAAGGCGCGCAATCAATAATTTACCAAAAGTATTCATTTCGACTTTTTCGTAAAAATAAAAATTCCGGGGACTTAGTTTGGCGTTGCAATAATAAGTTTTGTAGTGTTATAGTGACGACAAATTCAAATATAAATGTATTTATCAAACAGAATAAAAGTAAACATCATCATGAAACAAATGAAATTAACCCAGAATTAAAAGAAATTCGATGTGCTGTTAAACGTAAATCGAAATTGGATTTAAATGAAAAAACTTTAAAAATTATAAGGAAAGAATTATGTACGTCTTCAGTGAGTGCAGATAATATTGATGCTATGAGACAGTCTATGAATCGTGAAAGACGAAAGCTTCTACCCCCTGTGCCTGTGTCACTCACAGATGTTCTTAATAAGGTAAATAAATCAAACATCACATCAGTGGCGTGGCATGGATTCATTAGTAGTGTAAGCAATCATTAAAAATTATACCTACCTATATCTTCATTTGTTTTTTACACCTCTAGAAATCTGCACGTTGTTTACCTAATCGCACGCTATTTATTCCCCCCCCCCCCCCCATAAAAAAGTATCTTGATTTTTAGTTATATCATAAGTATTAAGAATAATATTTTTGTTTTAATAAAATAATACTTTATTTTAAAGAATTTAAAATGATAAATCAAATGATATTTTTTAATAGATACTTAATTCAAGTATAGTTTACAAGTTTACTTCTAATATAATTAAATTCTTCTATTTTGTTTTGACATATCATTAATCACATCATTATAAAAATTAAGTTCACACTTTGTACTCATTAAAACATCTTTTTTTATGGAAAGTAAAGATAAATTTGAAAGTCTATTTTGAGTTTGATTAATTCTTAAGTAAGTCTATCCTTTTTAAAGCAGAAAAAGATCTTTTAGCAGAAGCACTGGTTGCAGAAATAGTTAAAACTAATTTACATAATTTAGTGACTTGTATTAGGGCGGTTGTTGAATCTGTTTCCCTCAAATATTCTAATGTTTATAAGTATGTATTTGATAAAACTGATCAAATGAATTAATTAATTAATTAATAATTGACAATTCACTCTTTAGTTTTGGTAATTCAAAATAATGGCCATAAATCTGCTTAAGTGAACTAAATTTATCCTGAGAAATATAATTTTTGTAATAAAAAAATTGTTCAAAATTAAGGAACCCCATACATTTTCAATTGTGTACTTTAGAAAATCTTTCATCAATTTTGACCAATATAGTATCTATTATTTCATAGAATAAACGTTTATAATTAATTTTCCTATCTACTGATACTGTGATCATTCAAGATCTTTTACTTCTAAAGGGAACTACTTTATATTTTTCTAATTTATTTACTTAATTCTAGACTAAATCAAATTTTTGCTTATATTCATTTAATTGTTTCTTAATGTTTTAATTGTTTGAGTACAATATGAAATACTTTTTTTTGCAATACGTCAAAAAGGTACCATGCTAAGGGTAGTATTTTACCAAAAATAATCAAATTGATATTAAAATCAAAATCTTCTAAAGTTAAACAAAACCCTCTAGCACATATTAATGATTCAGTATCCCATTTATCAGCATTATCTACAATAGTCTGCATTAATTGTTTTATTTTTTTCTTTATGTTCAACTTCAGTATTAATTAGTCTACTATTATAGTTCAAACTTGTCGGAGAAATAGCTGGAAACTGTTTTTTAACTATTAAATTTAATTCATTTATTCTTTTTGTACTTTTAGAGAAAAAAACAGCGAATTCGTTTAGTTTCTTAAAAAATATTTTACATTCTTTTACATGAGATACTGACTGTTTAAGAACTAAATCAAGTTTATGTGCATAGCAATGGATATATGTGGCATATTTATATTTATGTCTTATTAAAGTCTGCAAACCATAATGAGAACCAGACATAACAGCTGTTCCATTATATATTTGAGCAACTAATTTATTCTCATCACATATATACTCTGGTCTGGAAATATTGAAAAAAAAATGATCTGCTAAAGGTTTAGCGGACCTATCTGCACTAATATCACAAAACCCAATAAATCTCTTGAACGTTCTTATCATTAACATGTCTAAATACTGTTGTGAGTTGTGATTTTTTAGTTATATCAGTTGTTTCATCAGTAATTATTGCTAAGAACTCAGCATGTTTAATTTAATTTTTAATTTTGGTAATTATAAAATTTTTAATGGAATTTATCAAATCATTTTGTATGTCATTAGAAAGGTTTATAAAAACAGTAGAATTTGAAATATGAAATTTTAATCATCAATAGAAGAGAGCAAGTTAAATGTTTCGACAAAATTACCTTTATTTAAAGAATTTAATTTTTCATTGTGACCTCTAAAAGCTAATTCTTTTTTAACGAGAAAACAAGTGATATCAATTAATTTACTTACAATGTACCTATTATTATCTACATTTTCATTATATTTACTTATGTTTTTTTTTTTAAATGTTCACTTAAACAAATATCTATTCTGTTTTTCCCAAAAATTTTTAAACCATGAAAATTAAACATATCAGTAAAACCATATTTTGACCAGATATTTGATTCACTATGTGAAAAAAGTATGCAGGGCCAGCAATATAATTTGTCTGAACAACCACAAAGCCAATCACAAATTTTATAAAAACATTCTTTAAAATATCGGTAACAATTTTTAGTTTTAGATTTAAAATTGGGTAATGTAGGAGTAGGCCTCCCTCTTAAAGTAATTCCCATTTTTTCTTCATAAGTATGAACGCCAAATGACTTAACCAGTAATCTATTTATATCGCAGTAAAAGTTGGAAACATTTTCTTTAGGTATTGGTGGTGATTTGTTGTTTGAAACTGTTGATAATTTTGTTTGAACCGGCAGGTAGTTATTGAGTACTTTTAATGTGTTATGAAGCAATTAAAATTCTTGAGTTTTTAAAACTAAATTTTCTCCTATAAAATAAATTAAAAATTAAATAATACAAATTATATTTTGAAACATACACATTTTATTTTAATTTATAATTTGTTATGTTGTAACCTAGTCCAAATTATTCAAATTGGGCTCAAGATATATCAATAAATAAGCACTAATTATGTCCCTAATTATCCCACCCTAAATGTATCATACAGGGCTTATTCTAAGATTTTTTAACTATGCATTTTGTTTAAATATGCCTATCAAAATAGAACTATGATTACAAAATAAAATGATTTCTTTTTGGAAAAATACATAAATACCTAAAGGAACTATTTGCTATCTTATTTTATTAATAAAACAATAAATTATAGTAAATCAACTACGCAAAAATTGATTTTCAAGTATGCATCTAGCTTTTCCTAATAAGTAAAATAAGTCCTGGATTGTATACAGAAATATTTAAATGATAAATGTAATTAGATTATGTGAGTAGTTAAAATTTGTTGTAATATTTTTTCATATATTCTTGTCAGTCATTCCAATACACACATTAAAAATTATATTATATTAGAGTTATTAGTAATTACTAATTACTTTATAATTTATGCTAATATTTTCTATTGAACAATATTAATAAGAACTTATTTACCTAGCAAGTACATACCTTTTAACCCAAGATCAGTATTTTGTGATGATGTTTTGCATTCTGAAAATGGTGTACCACTTATTACATTTTGCTCGATAGTTTTATTAATTGCTGTAATAAGCATAAATACAAAATATTGCATATACAAAGTGATAGTGAGAGCTATATTAACATATGGATGCAAAGCATGGACAAGCTTAATAGAACGAAGGCTTACCACCTTTGAAAACAAGATATGGCGTGTGATATGTGGACCTAAATTAAACACGAACACTGGTATGTGGAGGATAGAGTTTAACAAAGAACTAATTGAAGAAACAGAAATTACTCCGATTAAATATTACATAAGAAGCCAGAAAATCCAGTGGTTTGAGCACATTATGCATGGAAGTGATAATAAGATAATCAAAACAGTTATGTCTTGGAAACTAACGGGAAAGAGACTACGAGGATGTCCGAGGAAAAGATGGATGGATGTGGTCGAGAAAGATCTTAAAAGGATAGGAATAGATGATTGGAGAAATATAATCCATGATTGAGAGAAGTGGCGTGAAGTTGTGATGGTGGCAAAAACTTTTATAGAGTAAATAAAGCCAGACGAAGAAGAAAAAGAAGAAATATTTATCAACATATATTCTATAATACAAGTCATTCTAATATACAAATGAACAACTAAGGTTTTTAAACAAATGTTTAATCATAACTTGTCGTTTTTGAAAAATAGCTGCTGATATTTTTATTTGTTAGTTTGAACTTACTCACAACGCACAAACCTATATGTAAAAACCAATTATAATTGCTCGTATGATTTTTCTGTTTACCATACACGCAAGTGTTAAAACTAACTTTATCACCACTCATGATACAAAAATAAAAAATAAAAATATTTTACTTAAATAATTTATTATAACTAGTTAAATAATAATAGTAGTTTGAACTTAAAAGTCAATGAAAGGCTGAAGACAATTTAAGTGTCATACACATACAGGGCCGGCCCAAGCAAAAATAGTGCATTAGGCAAAATCAAATTTTGCCGCATCTAAAAAAAAAAATTAAGCTCTTATTTTAACTTAACCCCTCTCCCTATTTTGTAGGCGACATATCTACATAAAAAAATTTTTTTATTTTATTTTATATATAAAATTATACTTGAAGAGACTTAAATATGATTTCTATGTATAATTATTATCAAGGCCGCCCACAGAAATTTTTCTCGGGGGGGGGGCAGCGAAAAAATAATACACTTACCATAAATTCTGTTTTTTATCACATCGTAAAAAAAATTATTTATTTACTATAATATAGTAAGTATATACATATATATATATAAATATATAATATTATGTTGTTATAAATAAGCCTGTATAATACAAAATGAAAAAAATAATTAACAATAAATAATTATGACTCATTGATTTTTATCGTCAAATAAAAATTGAACACGCCGTGGTTCCATGCAGAAAAGCTTAATTGTATCTTCAACAATGTCAGATTGTTGACTTTTTAAAAAAATAACAATATTATCATAAAAGTATAAAACCACATAATAATAGATTAAATTTAATCTATTCTGTGATAAAACAGTCATCACCATGGCTATCTTAAACCGTGGTCATCACTATGACTTTATCAATTAAAACCACAATAATTGTATATGGACCATAGAATTGATATGATATGAATCTACAACCATGATTAAAACAAATAAATCAAATACCGAATACCTATTGATATTGAAAACTGACGAACAATTTTGTGTCAACTTATCAGTTATCAGTCCTTATCGCCCTCCTCAAGACTGCTAAATAAAATGCAAATAAATGTAATAAAAATTAGGTATTATCTAAATTAGCGGGCGGCCTTGATTATTACTCAAAACTTATCACAATCGCGACTGTCGGAAATCGTGGAAGTGATTGTGTGGTTATTTATATTTTTGAAATAATTGAAAGCGCCCTACGTAAGCCGTAATATAAAGTAATATAATAACTTTAGACAGTATTATTTTATTATATAGGTAAGTGATTTTCATGAATGAATTAATTTAAATATTTTTCTTATAAAACACTGACAGAACTAAAAAATAATGTACGAGTCAATTTTGAAAATGCCGCCCCTATTAAAGTTCCGCTCTAGGCAAGTGCCTAGCTTGTCTATACCTTGAGCTGGCCCTGGTCATACACTCATACCAACGCGATGAGACATGAATAGAATAAATATAATGATGTCTATTGATATCACTATAATTGGTTGTATAACACATTTAAAAGTTGCGTATATGCGAGTAACGCCACCATTTATACTATTTCATATATTAATTTCAAATGCAATTGTTATTATATTATAAACTGTAATAGTCTTACATGCAGAATAGGAAAAGGAATTAGAATCGCTTACACATACGCAAAGGTGGGCAAGTCAATGAAAATAATTAATTGTGGTTAATTAAGTTAATTCAATTAAATTTCCATCAATTAAAGTTAAAAGTTAACAAAAAATAACTCGATAAGTTAAAAGTTAAGATAGAAAATAAAATTAACTTAACTCAGTTAAAAAAAGTTAATTTTTCTAATATCATATGTTATATTTGTATTTATAACGAATACACAGAGTACTGAAATATAAACTATAATTTATAAATATCTCGGACGGCTTTTTATTTTGTCCATTGGAATTGTCGTATTTACCAGCAGGTACCTATGTTATCAATATTCAATTTTAACTTTACACTTTTAAAATACTATGCTATTTATTTTTAAATCTGTTTTTAGAACTACACTATAGAGTTAGACTAAACAAAAATCGTATTATTCAATACCGAATAGATCATTAAATAGAATTCGTGAAAATAGCAAGTCTATACAATAGATAGAATATTAATTATTACTATTTACTATAGTATCTATAGATTAAAATATAATTTGATTATTATGAATTGAGGATATTATGTTATTATATTAGAAAAATAAATTACCAAAATCGAAAGAATAAGTTTTGTCTGATGGTTCCATCATGATAAAAAAAAAAATTAAAATTAACTTAACTGTACAATAACGATAATTAAATATAAAAAGCTAAGTTAAAAAAATAAAAAAATTAATTGAATAAGTTAATAAGTTAAAAACAAAAATAACTAACTAGTTAAGTTAAAAAGTTTAAAAATGTTTAACTTTTTAACAAGTTAATGCCCACTATTGCACATACGTAATCTTTCTCATATTCATGGAAAATGTATTGTTAATCGACCGTGCAAATACGGTGGTGGTCCGGGGGAAATTTTATCGAGTATTCTCGGTTTGTTATCTTCCGACGACTGAAACCACAGACTTCTATACTACACTAGTATAGAAGTCTGTGACTGAAACCAATGATTTTATTTTTAGATTACCAACAATAAAAATAATATATAAATATAACCTACAAATATCAACGACGAAGTATTATTTTACATTATTAGAACTTGATCGTGTTTTAAATTGTATTTTAATTCTGTCATTTAAAATTATACCTGTTATGTTTTACAACTGAAAGTGTAAGCAACGCTTACACTGCTTATATGTACGCCACGCCACTGCATCACACTAAATAGTGGTGAAAAATTTTTGTTTGTGAATGAGTCCACTTAAATATTTATAGTGACATATAAAATAAACCTCCAATTTTTATGCAATGAAATTGAATTTATATTAGCAGACGGAACTTTTACTTATTGCCCGAACATTTTTTATCTACAATATACCATCCACGGTGTTTGTAAACAATATTATGTATCACTGGTTTTTTGTTTTTTGTCATAAAGAACAAGAGATATTTATAAAAAAATGTGGGGAAACATTAAAAGATTTATGTTTAAATAATGCCAATAGTGTATTCCATCCTTCACTCTTACTATTAGATTTCGAACTTGGTGCTCACATTGCTGCTAAAGAATTATTTCCTTTAATTATTATAAAAGCTTGTCGTTTCCATATTGGTCAAGCCTGGTACAGAAAAATCAGTTCCATTCCAATATTAAAAAAAACTACGACGATAAAAATTCTCAATCTGGACTTTGGTTAAAACTCTTTTTTGGTTTGTCTTATTTACCATCACATATGATTTCTGATGTGTTTATTGAGATAATAGCTATTTGTCCAAAAGAAAAACAATATAATTTTTCTGATTACATATTGGATAATTATATTGAGAACAATAATTTTTCACCAATATTGTGAGTAGAAGAGCCCAATAAAAATACAAGAACGACGAATGGTGCAGGAAGTTACCATGTCAACTTGGGCATGAATTCTATGTTCCACACCCTACTATATTTCATTCGGTAAGCAGTGGGCTCGTGAGGTCACATAAGGTGGTGCACAAATAGTTTGTAAGGTATGTAGGTGGGTAAAAAAAATATTAATTTTAACATAGGTACATATAATCATTGATTATAGAATAGATATACTATTATATATATTATATAATCAATGATGTAACGTAATTATCTATATATTTATTTTTTTTATTAGTTTACGGTCATTGAGACCATACCGCCAAACAAATTTCTCTCCATCTATCTCTATTTTCTGCCGCTACTCTCCATGGTGTCTCTCATTCAATGCTTCCCGCGTCCCTTTTTATACAGTCTACCCAACGTAACATAGTCTTCCTAGGGGTCTCTTACCGACCAGGTTATCTTCGATTGTTGTTCTGATTATGGATTCCACTCTCCGCCATGCATATCCTGCCCAAGTCAATCTCCTTTTCTTGATTTCATCCGCGATGTTCGGTTTCTGGAACAGTTCCTTGAGTTCTTTATTATGACGTTTACGCCATTCACCTGTGTTTGTGTCGACACATGAGCCGTAGATTTTACGTATGATTCTCCTTTCAAATACTTTTATTCTGGTTTCTTCTGCTTTCCTAAGTGACCATGTTTCTGCGGCATATAGTACTATGGGTCGTATCAGGGTCTTGTACATTTGTATCTTCAGATTTGTGGATAATGTTCTTGAATTCAGTACTTTTCCAAGACGAAAAATACTTTTGTTGCCTTTTTGTATCCTAGCACTGATTTCCATCTGCAGATCATTATCTTATGTTAGCAAGTGTCCCAAGTACTTAAAATGCATGGCTCTTGAATACATGCCCTTCAATATTCATAGATTGTCCTTCTTGATATTCTCTGTCCTGGCGACTTAATATCATGTACTCTGTTTTTTCGTCGTTTATTTCCAGTCCGACCTTACTAGCCATCATGATGAGTTTCCTGCATACTTGTTTAACCGTTTCTTTAGTATCTCTTAATATCGTTATATCGTCCGCATAAGCCAAGATATTTATGTTCGAGTTTCCCAATACTATTCCATTGTTACAATTTGTTTCTCTGATTACCTTTTCTAATATTAGGTTGAACAATATTGGTGATAGCTCATCTCCTTGCCTTAGGCCTGTCCTTACCGTTGCTGACTCTGACTAATGGATTAGTAATCTATGTATATGTGTTAATAAATCTTCGTCCAGCATTTTCATAATCTCACTTTGAATACCGTCCTCACCAGGTGATTTATAGTTCTTCAATCGCCTTATTTGTAGTTCTACTTCTTATTTTGACAGTGTTGTATATTCGTTTAGGTTGGGTTCTATCCTTGTCCAAGTAAATATTTCTATGGGGTCGTTGCAATTAAGAAGATGTTCGAAGTGCGTTTTCCATCTCTCTATAATATCTGATCGGGCAGTTATTAGTGTTCCGTCTTCCTTTACTAGGAACTTTTCATATTTTTTGTAACCTCCTTTTAGTGTATTAATTTTTTTATACAATTGGTGTATGTTATGTTCATTGTGATGTTTTTCAGCTTCTTCCAAAATGTTTTTCGTATAGGCTCTTTTTTCATACTTAAAGATTCGACTTGCTTCTTTTCTGCTCTCATTATACTTTGTTTTGTTTTTTTCATGGGAAGGGTCATTAAGGTATAAGTTTCTAAATTTGTTCCTTTGATTTAGGGCTTTATCACACCTCTCTTTGAACCAAGGTTTTTTAGTGTTTTTTGATTTTCCCAGGACTTCAGCTGATATTTCTTTTATTGTTTCCTATATCCTCCTCCACATATTATTTATTGAGCCTGTACTATCTATATCTAATTCCCTGCTGCATTTATGTATCTCACTTTTAAAACGTTTACGGCAAACTTTATCTGTGAACTTAGTTATATTATATCTTTCAACTATCGTTGATCTCGTCGCCATCTTCCTCTTCAGTTTTGTTTTAATTTTTACCTTAACCAAATAGTGGTCAGATTCACAGTCCGCTCCTCACATCGTTTTGATATCCCTAATAATGTTTTTGAACCTGTCATTGACTAGCACATGGTCAATTTGATTAGTGTAATTCCCATTTGGTGACTTCCATGTTCCCTTATGGATCTTTTTATGGGGAAACATTGTGCTCTTAATCACTAAGCCTTTGCTCGTTGCAAAGTCGATTAGGTTGAGGCCATTATTGTTCGTTACTTCATGTAATGGTAGCTAATGATTGGTTTAAATATTAATTCTTTTCATATTTTTGCATTTAGATCTCCTAATATAACCACTATTCTGTTATTAGGTATTCCATCTACTACGTTCGTTAATTCATCATAGAAGTCGTATTTTTCTTCTTGAATCTTTTCCTTAGTAAGGGCATGAATACTAATTATTGTGGGATTAACCCAGTATGCTTTAATTGTTAATAGTGATATTATTGGGTTAAATGTCTTAAATTCCTTTACGTTTGGTACTATTGATTTATGTACTATGAAATCCGTACCGAATTGTCATCGATAATCACAATCCCCATGGAAAATGGTTATGGTTATTAATAGGGCTAGGGACTTTATACCCTTAAAAACCTTAAAATATGTATGCATTTATGCCCTAAAGAATCAATAAATATGCTATTAAAATATGTATTTAAAAAAATTATATTTGTAATAATTAATTAAATAAAAAAATTTAACTAGTAATAAATTATAATAATATTTTTATATATGATAGATATGATGATCTGAGATAATTTTTTCTTTTTTTCATCTTATATTGAATTTTTATCTAAAACAAAATATTTAAAATGGTTTTAAAAATAAATTAAATTGAAAACATTTTTTTTATTTTTAATATAGTTATAATTCTTCTAACCTTGAGCATTACATTGGACTATAAGATATTTTCTTAAGTTGGAAAATTTAAATGACTGTCTGTTATCAGCCAAAATAATTTTATATTTAGAAAAGGAACGTTACACGTCTACGGAACTTATTAGTGCAAACTTAAAAAATCGTAGGTCACTACTACTAATATCTGCAGGCAATCTATCCATAGATTCATTTTTCCATTTAAAATGTTCGAAATTTTTTATAGTTAGCCTTAGCTTGTGCAAATTCTTCAATTTTTGCAGAATGTATACGTTTTTTATAGTTTTAATCATTTTAATGCATTCAATTAGTGTACCAATAAGACACCTTGAGTTCCAAGTCACGTGATATATGAAGAAATAAATCATAATTTTTTTTTATAAAATTTAAAAACTTACTCCTTCATATAAATAATTGTCAAATATGCACTTATAAACGAAAAATGGTCAAATATGCAAAATATGCAACTATAAATTTTAAATATAAACTTGTATTGCTTTGAAACAAATTTAAATATTACTTAGCTATATTTTTGATAATTATTTAAAAACATGCAAGTTCCTAGAAGTCCCGAGCCCTAGTTATTAATGACTAAGGATTCCGTTCCTTGCTATCTAATTTCTTGGATAGCCAAGATCTTAAATTCATATCTCTCTATTTCTTGCATCACTGTATGTGCCGCTCCAGTGCTATATAATGTGCGAACGTTCCATGTACCCAAAAATATTTCCGATTTCCAGTTTCCATTTTTGTTTTCCTTATCTCCACTATTCCCAGGCTTTTTGTTTAGTTCCTGATTTTACGAGGCTGGGTTGTTAACTCAGCACCCAACCCCCAACCTGCAGGACTAGACCACTCCAATCAATTAAGACCAGAGTGGGGCTATTGCAGCGCCCAATGAAGGGTACTGGGCGGTGGGAACGCCACTTTCCCAACGCCGAATATATATATATATATATATATATATATATATATATATATAAATGAATTGCTGTTCGTTGGTTACATGAATAATAATATACGTTAACGTCGGTGGTCGATAGTAAACAGAAGCACGATTGTTGTTTTAAACTTAAGATAATAACTAACATTATCAGCCGATAATCGGAATATAATAAATAAATGAGAGTAAAAATAAATCATAATGCCGATGCCAATGCGCAACGGCGCGGCGATATCGAAAATAATTTGCTGAAAACAATTTAATTGGTTATGTGCACAGAAACGAATGTACACATTAATTCCATTATAACGCATACACGCAGTTTCGATTTGTTTTAATTTTTACATCGTACAAATGTGCACAGTAATAGTGTGCACTACTGCACCACTATAACACACTGATACCTTTCCGTCATGGATAACCGCCTGCCCGTTTGGCCTTCGGAATAATCCAATTTCAATATTATATTATTTTCATAATAATCTGATTTTTATATTTTGAAAAATAATCTTAATAACATTACAGGTATTTAGTTGTATTATTATGGTTTATGTTTTCAATTATTTTTGAGTTTGGGTAGGTAGTGCACGTGCACTTGCACTAGCCACCAGTGTCGGTAAGAATATGAATTTAAAATAATAAATATATTTTGAGTTATTATTAAATTATTTTTGGTTTTTTTTTCTTCCAGATAGATATGTTAAAACAACAACAGATAATTACTGAAACCAAATTTCGACACATACGAAACGGCAACGTGAACCGTACACGCAAAGTATGCAGGGAGAAAGAAAAATCTATTTTAAATGTATTTGATGGTTTCGAACGAAATTAGCTTGATTGATTATTTAAAAATATTAGGATGTAAGTTTATTTTAATTTAATTATATATTGAATTATTTTATATTATGATTATATCATGATTTTTCATTATTATTAAATTATTTTTTTAATTAATAACAATAAAATATGTTTAATTTTTAACTATTTTATATATATGTGGGATTGGGTCACCAAATTGAATACTTATAATAATAATAATAATCGTAACGAAACTTGTCCTTTATTTAGAAATATTAATTAAGAACTTAACGATAACTACTACAAAGTAATAACAAATAAATCAAAGCATTGCATCAAACGTTAACGACACTAAGCCCTAGCTGCTCACCACCCCTCTGGTTGTGCTACGAACAGATCCGTCCTCTAGTGCAGTGTTTCCCAACTGGTGTTCCGCGGAACCTAAGGGTTCCATGAGCTTGCGCGAAGGGTTCCGTGAGAAATTTAAGAAAATATAAATTAATTAGCAATATTTTAATTTGGACTATAATTTGAACATAGAACTGGAATCGACACATTTCCCGATATGAGGTGCATAGTTTGTAGCTTTTCGGTGCATACAAAGACAAAGAATAAGTTTCGAAATCAACTGAACGTGGCTTCGGACTTACGAATCTCATTTTCAGGAATAACTCCAGATTTAAAAACAGTTATGAAAAAATCTATGAAAATATTCCAATCTTCTCATTGAATATATCTTAGAGGTAATGAGAAACAAATATTAAATTTCATGCATTAATATTACATTTATAATATTGTAATAGAAATAAACAAAATAAAATGTTAAAGCCGTCTTTTTTTTTTATATTAATGACACTCTTGTGCCGGAAGTGTCCGATAACCCATTCATTTAAGTGTATCAAACATTTGCCTGTATTAAAATTATAGAAAAAATATTGGGGTTCCACAAACGTTCAATCTCCTGCAAAGGTTCCGCGAGTAAAAGAAGTTGGAAAACACTGCTCTAGTGGACCACCCAATCCCACATATATATATATATATATAGGTGACATATTTGTTAACCCAACATTGTGCATCTTGATATGAATAACTATACATTAATAACTCATGTAAATAGTTTATTCGAATACCCACCGACCATTATCCTCCGTAAAAAGAGGGGTTGTCGTCCCTCTTGTGTTATAGGCTTGGTGTCACTGAGTTTACGTATTAATTATTTTTGACTATTCAACTTAGTCGTTTAAAATATAATTTATCATTAATTTGGATCATTGATCAAAAACAACAGGTAGACAATAGCCAATATTATTTAACTTATAGTATAGATAATATCTTTTGAATATTTATAGACACGTAGTATGTATTCTTTTTTAATAATTTTAAATTCTCACTTTCATTTATATGCTCATAAGATATAATTAATCACCAAATTGAGTATTTATATTCATATAAATATTCGTAATGCGTATTTCATATTTTAAACATTGTACCGGGCATAATATTTAGTTGTTACGATTTTAAAAATAATAAATACCTGCAATTTTATAGTATAATCATTTTTGGTAAAATTGTAAAACAAAAATGAAATTAAAACCGCAAAAATAAATGATATTATGAAATTGTGCATGTTTTAGCAATTTGTGATCTATTTGTCAAACAAACTACTCGTTTCTTTTGGATAGGTTTAAATTAAACCCTTTAATAAATAAAAAATATTTGATCAAACTTTAAACTTTCCAAAATTGAATGGGGTGTTTCCTTTTCACATAATGTTGTATTTTAAAATTATTAAAAGCCATAACTTAATTACTTATATCAGTGATGAATCCCTGCAATTGAAGTGTACTAAAATTAAAAAACAATTGAAAAAAAATATTTTATTGAATTATTGCATTGTCTAACTATTTTTTGATGAGCAAATAATGTGTCAATAAAAACTGGTTTTAAACTTAATTTTCCCACCGAAACTAATATGTTAAATTCATTAATTCATCAAATTAATTTGGACTATAATAAGGATAAATGTGTAATAGTTACGCCTCCATCCATTTTTAATCCTGGAAATCGTTAAGTATATTCATACACTCATTATAACTATAATGAAAAAAAAATATTTTTGGGAAAAAATTATTTTATTTTACTAATTAATTATACTAAATCTAGTTGTTAAACATTATAAAATCAAAAATTAATAAGGTTAAGAATATTTTAATTTAACTGGAAATTTTTTCAACTCAAATTTCTTATTCTTTCAAATTTTGAAAAAACAGAAATGGCTCTAGAATTAATTTATAGGTAGTAAAGAAAATTGATTTGAAGGCATCTAATAAATATTTTACACAGTAATTATTAATTGCTATTTAAGAATCAAAGCTCAACCAGGATAGGGAGGAATGATTTTAATATTTACTCTATTATCCCTAGCCATTGATACAATCCTGTCTTGATCGATAATTTAGCACAATAAAATATCGAGTTATGGACAATAGTATAAATAGTAAAGTACTCAAACTTAACTCTATATAATAAATATATATTATATATAACTAAAATGTAAATAATTTTTTACATTTTTTAATTTAGATTTTAAGTAGCTCAATATAAATATTCCTGGAAAGTTTTTAGAGAACAAGTGTGGTATAAACTTTTCAGTAAACTTTTTTTTGTTGAATATAAATAAAAATGTGTGAACGTCGAATTACTTAAGTGATTATAAAGGCCACCTTGTTACTATATAATATTATATATATTCTCGAGTATTTTTTGTTACACAATAACATATATATCTACAACCAATATACGTAATTACTGACCAATATTAAAATAATATAAAATTTACCTAAAATTTTTGAAGCTCTAATTACAAAAAAACTTGTTATATTATTATCTATTACATAAGTCCATTCCAAAATTTTTTTCGACCAGAACATTCTATTCTCACTAAACTTTTATGTTACCAAACATAGATTTTACGATCATTTAAAAATTGTCAGCAACTTTATGCTATATATACAGATTTTCAAAAAGCGTTCCATAAAGTAAATTATGTTATTCTTTTACATAAATTTAATTCATTTGGTTTTAGTGTAGTGGTTCCCAAACTGAGATGCGAGCCTCCCTAGGGAGGCACAAGCAAATAATTGTATTTATATTGTATATTACACTATCTATCATAAAGTTATTTGTAGATGGACAGTTTTTATATTATATTGCCTTATATTTATAAACTATAAACAAGCTTACGACAGTATTGATAGAGACAAACTAAGGAAAGTATTAGAAATACTAGACATTCCTAAAAAGTATGCAAGTCTCATAAAAAAATGAAACCAATATAAAAACTACATATAGAGATTCTTGCAAGAAATGTCAAAAACTTTTAAGATAAAATCAGGCCTTCGACAAGGGGATGCTTTATCACCCATTATATTTCATTTAGCATTAGAAAAAGGAATAAGAAAAGTATGGGAGGATGGTCAAAAATGGAAATGTATGGGGAATGCAGAACGCAAAAAGTATTGGCGTACGCAGATGACATTGTAGAAATGGGAGAGACAAGAGAAGAAGACATAAGTACTGCGTCTAAATTACTAAAAAATATAGGTCTATGCATAAACACGTTTAAACGAAGAAAAGACGAAATGTTTAATTGTAGCAACACTGCTATCAGTGCCGCAAAAATCGGGTGTGCAGTGTGCCGCGCACACGGGTCCAAGGCTTACATACATTTGGGGGGCCTCCTAGTCCCAGCCTAAATTAAAATACACTTTATAAACACACAATTATTTAATAATATTATATTATTATTATAAAATAAAAAGAAACTTTTTTAAAATTTAGGTAAGGATGTTATAATATTTTAGAGCAATATAATATTTATTTAACAATAATTCTATTGAGTATTTGAGTAGGCATACAATATACCTACCTAAACTACTTAAATAAATTTACTACATAAATATGTAGTGAAGTATAATATACAACAGTTGTAGGTATTTCATTTGATATATATACATATATCATACACTAACAGATGTAAAACGTATTTTAAAACCTAAAAAAATTGATGCTTATAAATAAGACGTACAACAACAAAAAAAAAAAATTCTAGGAAGGGGCCTAATATAATTACCGCACACCGGCCTCTTATTTTGGAGTTGCGGTATTGATTGCTATCGTGACAGTGATGTTGCGTCAAAAGTCCAGATGCGTCATGTAAAGTAATTTGCAGAAAATAGATTGCAATAGTTATCTGCGTCTGGACGTTACGTCTTGACGTACCTTGGAACGCGTATCTTTAGATTGTATGGTGTAAAAAATGCGTGTGTGAAATGACGGTAAAATATTTATTGGTTGCCATACTAAGAATTGTAGCTCTAATAAATGTGCTTTTTTTTTTTTTTTTTGTTGAAAACGATCAATAATGGACTATTTTTATATTTAAAAATGTAAGAGGAAAGTAAAAATGTAAGTGAGTAGTGTATATTAAATATGATGAATTGCTATGGGTTAAACAAGTGCGATTATTTTTCACATAGAAAACAAATTATTTTTCATACGTCCAAGTGGCAGTTCGCATTTTCGGATTGTTGGAAAAAGATATATATATTACGCTATTTCGTTTCAATCAAAATAATCTATTCGACAAACATATTACCTTCGCTCTGAACAACTTTATATATATATATTTAATAAAAATTACCTTCAAGTACAAACTACCAAAACAATATTGTTAAATTTGATGCACTAATGCACTACTTACGTATTTAACTTAAAAAAAAGAAGTTATCAAAACACTTAGGTTTTTAACAATAAAACATTCAATTGAGTCATTAAAAAACTTGAACTTTAAGCATTACACTTAAAAACATATATGAAACTATTATTTTGCTTTTCACAGGTAGTACCTAGTCGAATCTTGAGACATAGTGGATCATTTTTTATATTTGTCATATCAATAATCTTCGTACTCGTATATGTGTATAATATTATATGATATGTATTTATGTGTGTATGTGTGTTTTTGTATTTTGGATAAAATAAGTGGAGGGATGAAATATGTCAACTATTTAATGTAAAAGGGTGCTTCGTATTGCTCCATTTTGATCACTGTTAACAAAATTTATGATCAAAATGTCACGTTCGCTATCCCCTACTCCAATCATCAATAAAATATTATTTAATATCGACATGAATTCGTATAGTATCAATACTTAAAAGTACAAAAAACGCGTATGGAAAATACGGGTATATTTTCTATTTTACAGGCGACAGCTGACAGTTATTTCAATTTCAGATTTTAACTGTCTACCGGTTTGGGGATTCATTGGTATAACAGAATCAACCGATTAGTATCACCCAGTACATCATCATAAGTGTAATAAGTCAGTGGCATTCGGTGAGACGAACGATCAAATTCGTTATAAATACTGCGACGTCTCATGTTCTGGGGTTACCGAAATGAGCGCCCGTTGACGACCGCCATAACGGTCGGAGGATCACCAACCAGGTACCGGGACCTTGTTAATGATTGGAGTACCCGGATTTTGTTAACTTAAATCAAAGGGGAAAAGAAATAATAAAAAAAAACATTGTGCGTTATAATGAAAAATAATTTATTTTAATTTGGTGCGGAGAAAGCTCGGGTGGGCGTAAAACTCCGTATGAATAATAATAAAACAAACTAAATAATAATAAAACAGGCCTTTTTGGTCATACACCGGACATAGACGTACATACATACACACATATATATATATATACATATGGAATTTTTTTTCTTTTATAATAATAATAAATCATACTGGCCAGATATTACATTTTTGTTGGCCTTTATACAATAATTATTGTCCGCCACACATCTTCCATTTAAATTTGCCCGCAGACGCGAAACGTCTCGTCGCGGAAACGCAAGTAGTTACTACTCCATCTTTTCGTGGTACATTTTTAATGAAATAGTAATAATAATAATAAGAAGAAGAAGAAGAATGTAGACCATGATGTTGCTTCTATGACTATCTGGCAACGATAGAGAGTTCGTCGTTTCGTCGGGCCCAGTATCGGTGCACGGACATGGCCTCTGCAGTAAGCATGACGGGGTAATCACGGAACGGTTGGTCAAAGTTCTTGTACGTCCCGTTTCATAATAATATAAATTAATTATAATGGTGAATATTATGTGACCAAACTAATACGTATCGGCCACATGGATATTATACGTTACAGTACCTACTTTTTTTTTTTTCATATGTCGAAGGTTGGTTTCAACATGCATGAGGAAATCACTGAAAACCACGATGAACACGTAATAATGTAATATAAATGATTTTGTTATACCTGCCGATGTATACCTTTACCAGATATCGAGAGGTTTCATTCGGTTAAAAGGCACCAATTTCATGACTTATTGCCTTGGAAATGGACAGTAAATCGATTTTCAAAATTCTTTGTGGATTTTAATTGTTGTACTTGAAAACCGGAAAACAATGATAGAGTATGTGAAATAAAAATCACATTTTTCCTCTCTTTTAAATTTTTTGAAAAAGTATTTCTTATATGGGTGCACATTGCTCATATGTTAATTTTTTAGAATCCGGTTAAATTTGTTGAGTTTGGGTTATTCACTAGAAGTACGCGCAGCTATGACAATGATATCGGAATGGTTTCAGAACGAAAATTAGACGTTCAGACGTGGCAATATTTTCTGACAGTCTTATACGTTTTTTATTAATAATAAATTCCTATATCCTAGATAGAATGTCTAATAAGTATTGTGATAATTTTTATTGTGTTGATAGACTTTAAAAAAATAAAAGACTGTCTGGATTTTTCATAAACTATCTTTCTCTGATTCAAAAAAATATTTTTTTTTTTAAGTAGTTATACAATATTATACTAAAATGTATTCGTTTTATTTAACTTTAATCGTACCTATAAAATAAATCATGAAACTAAAAGTAGTATATCAAAAAACAAGGAAATGTGATGGTAGGATGAAGAGATTCAGCGAGTAGAAAAAGTAATTTAAGTTATAGCAGAAAAGCAGGAAGAGATAAGATTGGATATAGTGTAAAAATGTATGTAAAATAGTGAAGAGTGTGGTAAGTAAAGCGAAGCTTAATTCATATAATGAGTTATATGAAATTCAAGGAATACGAGAAGGAGAAAAGAAATGTATAAACTAAGATTGGAAAAAAATGATTCAGGGCTTTCAAAATGTTTGGTTTATAAAAAATGATAAGATATAGGATAAGAGGGCGTTAAAAAATGATGGACATGTGAAAAAGAGATGAAAAGAATATTTAGAGACTGAATGAAAAGTAGCCAAAGAAGCTTTAGAGAGTATTTCGTGGAATGAAGGTTGATTGGTTTAGTTAGTGAGGAGGAAGTTAAGGTTGCGATGTATGTGATGAAAAAGAAAAAAGCGATAGGACCAGAACATTTTAGGGGTTGTAAGTATTGGATGGTTGAAAGATCTTTTTAATAAGATGTTAATAGAGGGAAAAATGCCAGAAGAATGAAGAAAGAATTTTATTGTACCAATATATAAAAGCAAAATAAATATACAGGAATGTGAGAACTATAGAGGAATAAAGATGATGAATCATAGTATGAAGATTTGGGAAAAGATTATAGAGAAAAGAATAAAAAATAAGACATCAATATTGGAAAATCAGTTTAGTTTTATAACTGGAAAATCAACAATGGAGCCATTATTTTGTGTTAGACAACTAGTAGAGAAGTTTAAAGAAAAGAAAATCAACTTATGTATGGTGTTTCTAGTTTTAGAAAAGACGTACGACAGATTCCCATGAGAATTTTTAAAGTAGACATTAATGAGAAAGAAGGTTCCAAAAATATATATAAATTTGATTCAGGATATGTATGAAAGATCGAGAATTTGTGTAAAGAGTTAGTATGGAGAAACAGAAGATTTTAACATAGGAATTGGTGGCATCAAGGGTTGGCTCTAAGCCTTTATTTGTTCTCTGTTGTAATGGATAAATTACAAAATATATACGGGGCGAGGTACCATGGTGTATGTTTGCTGATGATATAGTTTTGGTAGGAGAAAATCTGGAAGAAGTTAATTATAGGTTGGAAGAGCGAAGGTTAGCCCTTGAAGAAAAGGGATTGAGAATTAGTAGAAATAAAATAGGGTATATATAGAGTATAACTTTGAAGGAACATACCAAAAATTTGCGGATATGAGGAGACCAATGACAATGAGTGGTGATGATATGTGAAGTCGAGAATTTTAAATATTTAGAATCATTGATACAATAGACGGGGGTTTTGGTATGGATTTAAAAAACATAGGATTAAGGGCGGTTAGATGAAATTGAAAGAAGCATTGAGTATTTTATGTGATAAGAGAATTCTAACGAGATCGAAAGGTACATTTTCAGGAGTGTAGTGAGACCAACAGTGCTATATGTAGTATCAGTATGGAGTATACAAAGTATGAATGTTGTGGAAATGAGAATACTTATGGATGAGTGAAGTGACAAGAGAAGATAATAGACTGAGATGATTTGGGCATATGATGCAACGAATGGAAACAAATGTAGTAGTATTTGTTATGAAAATGAACGTTGAAGAGAATAGAGGAAGAGGAAAACCAATAAAAGAGATGGTTGAATACAATTGAAAATGAAATAAGGGCAGTTGGTGTATGTGTAGGGATGTAAAAAATCGAGATGATTGGAGGTTTAGAACAAGGGTAGCAAACCCCAAACAGTTGGGAGATAGACAAAGGAGAAGAATTTCATTAACATTTGGCCTATCATTTGGTATATTAATCTCTCAACAAGTTTATTTTGACAATGGTGAATGGATATCAGATACTGATTTCCTGATTAACACATTTTAAAGGATATAGTATCCAAAGCTACAGAGAGTTATAGAATATAATTTTGGGAAAAGATATCGTAATTACTCAAAATCACCTCAAGTATGGTAGAAAAAAAATCATTGACACATTTGATTTGGGTTCTTAAACATATAGTTTATACTACCTACTCGGCTAATAATATAATCTTTCTAATTAGTATGAAATAATTATTTTATAATTGTGATAATTGTGTAATTTAATGACCAGTTAAAACTATTCATTATTTAATAATTATTCATATACAAAATTATACTGAATATATTTTAGGTATGATTATTTAATTTGAAAATAAATAAATGTAAATTTACATTATTTTAAACAACATTTAAATTTTTAAACTCCATTATTCTAATATAAAGAAGTTGAATTTAAAATTATGAAAGAAAAAAATTATTATTTTATTATAAATCAATCATATACAATAAATTATACTTAAATAGAAACTTAATAAAGAAATATTTTACGAAATACAAAATAAACAAAAAGGTAAAGTATAATATTTGTATTCAATGACTATTTGGTCCAACTGACTTTAGGTATATCAAAATGTTCTGTGAGACTATCTAAGTGACGATTAAATTCTTCAACTCTTTTTTTGTGTGTTGTTGATGCGATTTTTAGAATTCTTTCTTTTTGCTGTAATTAACCAATAAGAAAAAATAATTAATTTTTTTACTATAAAACAATAATAATATTATATAGAATATTTTACCAGTTTCTCTTGTTGTTTCATGAAGGCCAACTCAGCTTTAGTAGGTGGAACATGGTATTCCTTACATTTTTCCTGTTCTAATCCTTTATTTACTTTTTCAATAATTTTTTCCTTATCTTTATTCTTTTTCTTTTTTCTATAACAAATCAAGTAATTATCCTATTAAGAAAGTTTTAAAACAATACTAATTATTAAAAATTAATAATATGTTGATATTTTAATTTAAAATATATAATAGTTTTAACATTTTTAACTCATCTATCTAAACTCGTATAAATATCAGTAGAAACTATTATAAAATAATGTAGTTAAAAGTATTTATAAAAACAAAAAAAAAAACATAAATCATGGGTTAAATTAGGATAGGTTCTATCTTAATCAGATCATAATATTAGACATTTCTGTTATATAATATTTAAAACCAGTAGTTATTAAATTACACTTAATACTAATTAGTATTATAACTATACAAAGAAGAAAAAGGTTTTGTTTTTATTAAAATATCTAGTAAGTAACATTAGAATGTAGGTAATAGTCATGTCTTTTAACCTATTCATTAATAGAAAATAAACTATCTTCATTATTACTTAGAAATTTTAATCCAAAATAGCTCATAGGTAAGTGTTTGAAGTATGACATATAATGTATATTACATTAAATAATCTAAAAGTTCTAGTTCTAAATTATTGATTTCCCTAGTATAAAACTGTGAAGTTAAGTTAAGAAATGACAATTATTTGTAAAAATAAAACTTTTTTTTAAAAAAAAAAATGTATTATAATATAAATATATTTCAAGCATTTGAAATATTTCACAATTTTAAATTTCATGATATTTTCTTAAGTTTTATTTTTTAAGTTAAAGTTTTTATTTTATCTACAATTTTACAAAGGAAACTTGTTTTATTTTAATATGTTATTTTTAAATAATTTAAAGTAAACCTTGAACATCTAATTAGTCTTCACTATATGTTCTACAAAACAACAATGAACAGCATCCACATGGCCAATGACTAATGTCAATAATATCATATAGACATCATAATTCATCAGGCTTATAAATTATAATCGCTACAGTACTGACCAACCAAATTAAATTGAGCTAGATAATTAATATAAGAATGTTGTTCAATGGAACAGTTTTCAAGACTTGTCAACTTAGAGACCAGATCAATTACATGATTACTTGGACTTTTAAACACATGGATTCATGTGGAAGACAGCCCTAACAGATTCTTCATTATTCACTGTTCACATTTTGCCTATTTAACTATTTCTATTAAACACACTGTCCAAGCGAATAATATCGGAATAATATGATCGATAGAGCGTTACTACCAGTAATATTAAATCATTTGCAGTACAGCGCATAATGCACTAGACGTTGCACAACAGTCTGTAGTACGATGAATGTGTTCAAGTGTCCACTTACTTCTTGATTCCTGCATCACCTTTCAATTTCAATCGTCCTCCGGCCACGTATTCGTAATCGGACATAGCGTGTAAAGCGTGATTGAACGTGTACACGTCGAGATTGGAGTTTTGAGCACGGTTACACAGCGAAAAAATGATAATCCTACAGTCGTTTGTTATTGCTTTAGACCATTGTTGTTGTTGTTGGACTATTTTGTTATCAACACTGCACATAAAATTAGACGGGAATGTACCAGTGTCGCCAAGCGCATTTACATGTACCTTTCCCCGGATTCTACAGCCAGCGGTCAGCTGTTAACAACGAATCGCGCTTGATAAGATACTGTGTGTTGCTTTCGTTTCGTCCATCACCGAGAATCGCCCATTCGCCACACCCATAGATTACTCTGCTCATCTCTCTCGGCCCAATCGATTCGCGGCGAGATTCGTACCCACCGTTGTTTGTCGTTTTCCGTTCAACACGATATTCGACGGTCGCCGGGCTTTGGATAATCGAAACGGGCGGAAAACTCTCCGATCGCCATGGGATCGCTGTTCCGCAGCGAAGAGATGGCCCTGTGCCAGTTATTTTTGCAGAGCGAAGCTGCGTACGCCTGCGTATCCGAACTCGGAGAGTTGGGTCTAGTTCAATTCAGAGACGTAAGTATAAAAATGATCTGTCGTGCAGGTCCGTGAGGTACGGACCTTTGAGATTGCTCGGTGTATCTAATTTTTTTGTCTGTGACCTGGACTCGTCCATTAGTTGAATCCGGATGTCAATGCTTTCCAACGCAAGTTTGTCAGTGAGGTACGTCGATGCGATGAAATGGAACGGAAATTGCGCTACTTGGAAAAAGAGATTAAAAAAGATGGAATACCTATGTTGGACACTGGTGAAAATCCAGAAGCTCCTCAGCCTCGTGAAATGATTGACCTTGAAGTAATATATTATTTGATTTATATTTTCTTTAATATGTACTTGCAGTGTTTTTCTGTGAATATAATTTAGTTTTAAATATTTAACTTATATTTTTAATGGGTTAGAATATTGGTAAAATTCACTTTTAAGTTATTGTTTAGGAATTTCTATTCATTTTCGTCTAAATAAATTCAGTTTAGCTTCATAGTTAGATCTTTGATTGTAAATATTTTTATAGACATTCAAATAAACTATACCTATTATGGCATTATGCTATATTCAAGTTAATGAGTCCTACAAGTTAATAAAATCAGAATATATATTTAGTCTTATGATTAGTGAATATATTCAACCTACAAGAAATCCTTTACATAGAAAATGTATAACTAATGATTATTAAATAAAAAATATAATTTAAGAAAATTGTGACACTAAGTTACTACAAAAAATTATAAAACTTTTTTGTATACTTTATTAATATTTTTCTATGTTCTTATTGTATGTTAAAATTGAAACTATTGGAATAAATAGTATATGGTTTTTGTGTATTTTATAATTGCATTCAGACATTCAGTTGTTATTTTGACCAAATTGTATTATTTTAATTAACTGGCAATACATTTATCTAAAAGTTTTTTTGTTTATGTGACATATTGCAAGAATAATGTTAGGTATTAATTTGTATTTATTTTTTTAGGCGACATTTGAAAAATTAGAAAACGAATTGAGAGAGGTCAATCATAATGCTGAGGCCTTGAAACGTAATTTTCTTGAGTTAACTGAATTAAAACATATTTTAAGAAAAACTCAAGTGTTCTTTGATGAGGTAATTTTTTTTTTATTAATTATTTAAATAATAAATATTTGAAGTTATCTTAATAGGATTATTATCATATAATAATGGAATATTTTACCATCAATAAATTAAATCAAATTAAGTTAGGTTAATTAAATATTAATTTATACCTATTGTCTTGTAATATGATTATTTCCTTAAAATATGATTGGTACCTAGTTGGCTAGAGATTTTGTATAAAATAATACACCTACTATTATATTATAACTATCTCAAAAGTTTCAGTATCTGGCAACGTCAAATTAAATAAGAACCACCTCACCATAATTACTTGGACTTAAAAAGTTTTCATTTGGGTTTCTATCATTTTCTTTCTTCTTTGCATTTTCTTTATTATTGTAATTTGAGTTATATCTTATATTCTTTCATTATGACTTTAATTGCTTTTATGAAAGTTTAATAAAATTGAGCTTTATTTTATAATTGCACCAATGTAGTATTTGTAAAGTATTCCTTTTGGCTTTGAGAATTATTAATTTTTAATTATAATTGTATTATATTAATTTAAATAATATTGTGAATAAGTAAAGTGATAATTCTTTTGTTTGATAGCATTTTAGTAGAATTTTTGATTGAAATGTTTCATGTAGTTCAATTTTTTTATAAAAATACGTAACTTTTTTTCTCAATGTTTACTATACCTAAAATATATTCCCATTACTCTATATTAGAGGGTATACTTTTTAATCTTCTAAAGTTTGTATTAAATTATTTTAATTTCTAAATATTTATTAATAATGCTTATTATTTGCATGTTTGCATCTTCTATACAGTTAACACGACTGCACTTTCATTTTTTTTTTTTTTATCACATACAAACTAATTGTTTGCTCAAATTTATATTTATTTTAAAATGAATTTTTGAATTTTAATTATAATCATAAATAATTGGAGTATGCGATAAAATAAGCTATGGTGGAGGTTTAAGCACAGAATAACTAATCTATTCTGTTTTAATATATTAATTACATAAATAAAATAAATTAAAAGTGATGTGTATAGAATAAACTTTTGTTTGGCAATGTTGACTAGTATATTTCAAATAGCCCTGATTAATTTTAGATTTTATTTATTGTAGATTTATACTTAAGAGTAAATATTATTATAGTACTGTTATTATTTAACTTAGTGTTTGAAATTTATTATATTTTTAATACTAATATTGTTTATTATTTTAAATCTTGAATTTAACGCTATAACATTAAAATAAATTCCTTTTTTTATTATGTTATGATGTAATATAATAAATAATACATGTAATGTTTAATTGCTTATTTTTTTTAAATTTGGATTACAATTTTGAAGATAAAAATATATAATAAATTTATTGATGTAATCATTAGTTATGCATTCAATTAAGTTGTACCATGTCAACATAGCAAGATAATAGTCTCATAAAGCATGTATTTTTAGCGTGGGTTATATTTTATAAAGTTGTATATATTATGATAATTTAATATTATTTATATTGTTAATAGTCATAGTAAAAATAAATATATCTATGCTTAAAAACTTGAATTTCTTCATATTATAATAATCTGTATTATTTTACAAAACAATTAAATATAATTTCGTTTAATACTATATTTATTTTTAACTATCACTTTGGAAGCATTGGCTTACATTATTATAAAAAGTAAAACATAGGGTATCAAGTTTTTGCTTTTAGTTATTGAATAGATAAATTATTATTTAGTTAAGCTTCTTATTTTATTTGCTTGATAGTTATTACTGGCCAGTAAGCATTACAAATTGTATTATACTTAAATTGTACATTTTAGATTCAGTAATTGTTGTTAATTTTTTATTTTGTATATTTTGAAATTAAATTTCTGTCATAGTAATTCTATTTCAGTAATGTGAGTACATGTATATTTTCAAATTAATAATAATTTATTGTATAATATTTTTTTAATGCTTGCTTTTTATACAGTCATTTTTATCATAAACTTACTGTAACAAAAAAAATTGTCTGGTGGGGTGGTGTATGTCCGTATGTCGTCCCTATGCGTGTGTGTGTGTGTGCGTGTGTGTATGTGTTGCCAGACTGAACAGCAAATGGGTACCGCGGTTGCTTCGCAGATGGCTGACCCGAATCGGGAGGACGAGCAAGTGACACTGCTAGGAGAGGAAGGACTTCGTGCCGGTGGTCAAGCCCTCAAACTAGGGTACGATTATACGATTTTTTTTCTTCATACGTAGTATTGGTTTTAAATTGCTATATGCTTTGATATTCTTTAAAATGCAATGTTACCTGTGGGATTTTAAGTGTAATATTATTTAGGTATTCTACTCGGTTGTTAATCTGGGGTTCAAAAATCTTGAAAAGATCAGAATCAAAATTTGAACCAGAAAAGGTTGGGAACTTCTATTTTAGGTAGATTCTCTGAAAGTGTTATTATGACATTGTGTGTTTTCTAATATAAACTTTTTCTTAAATTATTTAATTTTGTGAATTTTATTGATATCTAGTAGTTGTCATTGTGTGTGTTCTTCAGTTTATCAATTTGGAATTTTGTATGTAAAGAACTTTTTTCATTTTGAAATAATAGTATATCATTATATTTTTTTCTAAATTAATGAACTATTGCAATAAATAATTTCTATTTTGTTTTCATTTTTTTTCTGCTTTTTATTTTTTCCCATTAATTTTTATTAACTTATAAATCCATTTAATTAAAACATTATTTGACTTATGAAAATACTTGAAAGTATTGCAAATATAATTTCTATCATTTATTTTGATCCTTAACCTTTTTTTATTGTATAAATAATACATTATTAATATTTTCATAAATTTATAAATATTTAAAAATGATAAAGTAATGTTTTCCTGTATATCTTAATGTTAAAATGTTGATTGCATTGATCTTTAACTTTTAATTTTTAATGAATACTTTTTAAATATACTGAAGTTTGTTTTAATGAAACAGAAATTTGTTATACTAATAAATACTAAATAATTTAAGTATAATTTGAAGGTTGGGAATCGAGTTTTTTACACCTAATAGCAGTCTATTAATTTAAATAATATGCTTATCAATAACTATGAATGTAATTTTACTAACTGAGAGAATATTATTAATTTGTATTTTATTGCATTGTGTATGTAAATAAGATTGTGGTGGAGGATTTATTTAAAACAACACATTGGTACCTGGACATGAATATATCTAAATAAATATTTATGGTTATGTTTTATCATAGTATAGGTTTCATAGTGCAAAACTGTTATTTTTATATAAAAGTTACTTAAATTCACTTAATTTAAATTAATTTTGTTCATTATTTTTGTTTTAATGACTAAATTAATAATAATATTATGTATCATTTAAAATTGTAAATCATTTTTAAGTCACAGTTTTGGGCTAAATAATAATTATATACCCGCTTGTCTATTTATTAACTAATCAAATTATTTGAATATTAATGTTAATAATATCGGTTTTTGGTGAAATTATTATGGAATGTTAAGAATAATTAAAGTTAAAAAAATGGTGCTTGTACTTCACTGCTTTGCTTTTATGTCTATAATATCATTGCAAAATAAAATCACTATATTCTACAAAAATATGATAGAATATAAAATTGTGTTAAAAGTCAAAGATTAATATATAATTAAAAATAAAACAATTTTAATTTTTTTGATAAATGTAATCATACATATTTGATATAGTAAACATAACTAATTAAAATTAATTACTAAAGTATTTACAATAAATGTAGGGTTTTTGTTAGTCAGTTAACGTCTCATACATACAAAAATTGTAATTAGGCTTCAGATAAATATTGAAAAGATAATTTCTTATTTGATACATTTTTTAAATAATTTTAAAAAGTCAGAAACTTATTTAAATTTTACGACCATCTATGTGTGTGTGTGTGTGTGTGGTGTACAATAGCAAGAGGGTGGTTTGCACCCAACAGAATCGATGACGCGGGCTCTTATTAGTGATGACTCAATAGCACGTCAAGTCAACGCTGGCCCAGTGCAATTGGGGTATGTATCTATATTGATTTTATTATTTATACACATCTACACATTGGATGTTTGCAAAACGTTATTTTGGTTAAATAAAATTTATAATATTAATATTATAAAATTTAAAAAAAAAACATGCTTGCATTAAGGGCATTTATGTTTTGCTGTGAAAGTTTGATACATTTATTTGTTATTATTAATTTAAATTATTTCATAATTGCTATAATAATCCATCATTTCTGAGTTGGTGAGTGGAATACATGGAAGGATTGCAGGTCTAGTGCAGATATTGGTAAATGGGAGAACAATTACATTGATCATTCCACCACAATCTTAGTTTTATTTACTTACAAGTTAAAAAAATTGGCTAATATGGTTTTGTCTTCAATGCTTTCATATGTTTAATAATACATCTTCTTAAACTTCATTTAATAACTGATAATTAATTTTAAAAATAAAGATTTGTTGCTGGAGTCATTCTGCGCGAGAGAATCCCTGCATTTGAGCGAATGTTATGGCGTGCCTGTCGTGGAAATGTATTTTTAAGGCAAGCAGAAATAGAAACTCCATTAGAAGATCCATCAACCGTAAGAATAAATTAAATCTTATTTATTTTAAAATATTGTAATTTTTGTTATTTAATTGAATATAAATCAAATAATTATAATTAATTCACATTGCTGTTATATTTATATTATTTTCATGAATAAAAATAATAAAATGCATTATCAAATTATTGTAATATAAGTTATAAACATTTATTACTTTTAGGGAGATCAAGTTCATAAATCAGTTTTTATAATATTCTTCCAAGGAGATCAATTGAAGTCTCGAGTGCGTAAAATATGTGAAGGATTCCGCGCTACATTATACCCATGTCCTGAAGCTCCATCTCAACGTCGTGAAATGGCTATGGGAGTTATGACTCGAATTGAAGATTTAAATACTGTAAGTTAGTTATAGTTATGAATAGTATTACATTTATATTCTAATTCTGTACCTTATGATTATTAAAGGTATTGGGACAAACACAAGACCATCGTCATCGCGTACTTGTTGCTGCTGCAAAAAATATAAAAAATTGGTTCATTAAAGTTGTTAAAATTAAGGCAATTTATCATACATTAAATTTATTTAATTTGGATGTTACACAAAAATGTTTAATTGCTGAATGTTGGGTACCTTTGCTTGATATTGAAACTATACAGTTGGCATTACGTAGAGGAACAGTAAGTTTCAAATTTTAAAATATTATATTATTTATTGATGTTTTTACTTTCAATTTTAAAATTACATTAGGAACGTAGTGGTAGTTCTGTACCTCCCATATTAAACCGGATGGACACATTTGAGGATCCACCAACTTACAACAGAACAAATAAATTTACAAGTGCTTTCCAAAATTTAGTAGATGCTTATGGAATTGCCAGTTACAGAGAAATAAATCCAAGTATAATTCATGGTCCTCCATTTAATTTTTAGATGCATTAATTTTAATTATTATTTATTTTAGCTCCCTATACCATCATCAGTTTTCCATTTCTATTCGCTGTGATGTTTGGCGATCTTGGTCACGGAGGTTTAATGTTTTTGTTTGCTGCTTTCTTAGTATTACGTGAAAAGCAATTAGCTGCCAAGAAATCTGATAATGAAGTATATACATTATATTATATAAATATAAAGAAAGCTAAATCATTCATTTTTAAAATGGTATGTTATTTACTGTAGGTATGGAATATATTCTTTGCTGGTCGATATATTATACTACTCATGGGTCTATTTTCCATGTATACTGGTCTAATATACAATGATATATTTTCAAAATCCCTTAATTTATTTGGATCACATTGGCATACAAATTATAATGAATCAACAGTAATGCATAATAAAGATTTACAGATAAATCCTTCATTGTCAGCTGATTATGATCAAGTTCCATATCCAGTGGGACTTGACCCTATTTGGCAGGTAAAAATGCAATTATATAATAAGTGGATAATTTTTTTTGTAATATATTTGTTCAACATCACACTTTAAACACTTTAAACTTTAACATGAACCTTTTGTTTATTTTCTTTTAGTTGGCTTTAAACAAAATTGTTTTCTTAAATGCTTATAAAATGAAAATTTCCATTATATTTGGCGTATTGCACATGTTAAGTGGTGTAAGTCTAAGTTTGTACAATTATAGGTAAGAGTATTGAATTATATTATACATAAAAAAGATAATTAATAAAATTGTATACAATTCAAATGTTTAGGTACTTTAAAGATCGGATATCCATCTTCTGTGATTTTATTCCTCAAGTAATATTCTTGACATTCCTTTTCTTTTATATGGTTTTATTGATGTTTATTAAATGGATATCGTACGGACCTCAAAATGGTATGTGATTTAATAATTATATAATATTAAAATTTTAAGAAATATAAAAAATAACTACTATTTTAAAATTGTTACAGATTTTCCTGATAGCCCCGCGTGTGCTCCGTCCATTTTAATTACATTTATTAATATGGTGTTATTCAAAAATGCTGAAGCTCTTCCTAATTGCAATACTGTTTATATGTTTGCAGGACAGGTAATTATAAAGATTCAATAATTTTAAATTGAATTATAAAGTATGTCATTTAGTAATTTAAAAAGAATATAAATTCTTTATTTCTTTTTTAAAATTTAAATTAAATATTGTATTTTTTAGGGTGTTTTACAAAAGTTTCTGGTATTAGTAGCACTCTTGTGTGTACCAATTATGTTACTTGCTAAACCCATATATATTATGCGTCAACAAAAAGAAAAGCATGTCCAGGTAAATACTAAACAAATTTGTTATGTAATTAAAATTTAAATATTTATAATTTAATAAACATTTAATATATTTATATTATATTATTTATTAAAGTTAGTTAATGGTCATGCAACAACTGAAAATGGTGATGCTGAAGGAGCGGGTCGAGTTGTTCAGCAACCACCACCAGCTGGGGGACACGATGAAAATGAAATTGGTGAACTCTTTATTCATCAAGGTATTCATACAATTGAGTATGTACTTGGTTCCGTGAGTCACACAGCATCATATCTTCGTTTATGGGCTCTTTCATTAGCTCATGCTCGTAAGTATTAATACATGTTTGGGCTTTTTAATTTTGATGTATACTTGATTTCTTATTTAATTTTTATAGAATTATCTGAAGTATTATGGAGTATGGTTATGACAAAAGGCCTCATTCTAGAATCATGGATAGGCGGAGTTTGGTTATGGTTCGTCTTTGGTTTTTGGGCAATCCTTACAGTGGGAATTCTTGTACTTATGGAAGGTCTTTCTGCGTTCTTGCACACTCTTCGTTTGCACTGGTAAAATCATAGTTTTTTTCATTCTTTAAATCGTTATTACATTTATTTATGATCAAAATTACACTTCAATGTTATTAATTCATTTGAGTATTCATATATTTAAATATGTGCTGTTATTGATTAATATTAAGTACTAAATAGTATTTTTACATCATGTTTCAAATGTATTCTGTATGTATTTTAGGGTTGAGTTCCAGAGCAAATTTTACAAAGGACTTGGTTATGCATTTTCACCATTTTCTTTTGAAGTTATTTTAAATACAGCTTCAACTGCAGTCGAAGAATAATTTAACACATTCAGTTAATGAATGTAGTAATATTTTAGAACTTTAGTTGTATTCATTAATACTATTAAGAATAAACTTTATATCATAAATTAATTTCATTCCATTTTTAATGGTTTTAGAATCTTTTGGTTCAATAAATCCACATTGAACTAGATTGGTTTATTTTTAGGTTTTGTCATACAATAATGTTTAAATTATCAAACATCCAGGTGTAATATTATAACATCAATAATAAACAATTTAAAATATATAATTAGAAATAACAATTATGTTGTAATTTTTTTTTTTTTGAAGTATTTTTAAACTGCAATAAGTAAAATGGATAAATGTTATTTATTTTATTAATTTATAGAGATATTACAAAAATGTATAGTTATGTTATTTAAAAAAAATTGAGTTTCATTAGCTCTTATACATTTATCGGCTTTACATTAATTTGTTTGGTGAAAGGATTTACCATACAAAATTTTTTTTTTCTTTTTTATATTTATTCAAAACAAGATGATTACATTCTGTAATTCAAAATACATTATTTTTATTAAAATGATAAGCAAATTTGATAGCTAGGAGAGATAAAAATAAAATACATGAATAATTTGAGGAAGGAGCCGTTCACTAAAGACATCTCAGAATTTTACAATAAATTTTATGTTTTCAAGTTTAAAGTACTAAATCTCTTTACCAGTTACATTTTAGACGTTTTGAACATTACGAGGAAGATAAAAGGAAGAGATATTTTTGATGAGGCAGTTGGGATAGGTCTATAATTTTGCATGGAATCTTTTTTAATAAATTTTGGCAAGTTCTGTCTGTGGAAATTTAGATGTCTTTTTATGGACAGGTTTGTTAGCAAAAAACCAAGGAGTTGCCATTAGAACTCTGAGACAAATGGTTTGGAAATTTTGGATTGGGTGTAAAATTGAAGATTCATTGAGACATCAAATTTGTATTCCATAAGACCAGACGGGTCTAATGGTAGCTTTATAAATTAAATTTTTATAATTGAGATTTGAGGAGTGATTTTAGGAGAAGAAGACGAGAATTTGTCTGTTTACATTTAGATTTTATATGGAGAGCCTAAGTGAGGAGTTTGTCTGGGATGATACCCAAATTTTTTGTTGAGTAATGGATTGGGCTCGTGTTTTTATTAATCTGGAGTTGAGAAAATTTATTTCAGCTCAAGGTAAAATTTACTTGAATGGATTTTTCTTCGTAAATTTTTATTTTCTACTTTTTTGCTCATTGAGCAATTTTGTTTAAATGAGACTGTAGAAGGTTTATTGTTGTGGCTGAGTCTTTGTCAGAAGCTAGAATCGCAGTGTCGTCAGCAAATGTGGCAAGTAATGTCTTAGAGGATGTAGGTATATTTGAGGTGAATATTTTCTAGAGCGCAGGTGATAGATCACTACCTTGAGGGACTCCTGCTTATGTATTTTTTATACCTAGGTATGAATTAATATGAAAAAAATTTTAAAAAAATGTTTTCATCACCAGTGTAATAAGGGATTTAAACACTTCCCTACTTATAGTTTTCCTCAATCACTTGCAAAATATCAAACATTTTGTTCAAAGAAATTAATAAACACCTCCAAAAAATTTAGAAGATTATAGAATAATTTTAAATATACATAAAAAATTTAGATTAAAAAGTTTAGTAATAAGAAACACTTGACTATCAAAATATAAAACAAAATACTAAACATCAAATTATATTTTCATACAAAATAAATGCTTAAGTTTTAATTAGGAAAACACTTGGACAGTACATGTGATATATATATAAACTTTCTATGTTTTCAGACTTCTAATAATTTTGACAACTATTTACCAATATTACTAACAGGTGATCAGTTTTATTGGTGTACACAGAATTATTATCCTTATGGTTAACATAATATTACAGTATTATAGAATGTTTTAATTGTCTAATCTGTAACTAATTCTTTATCCTTAATAGTTTTCATATACATGGTGATTCTTTTTATTTCTTCAATTAATGAATGCATCTAAAACCAAACAGTCGTATTTAACTATTAAAATTAGAAAATGAACTATATGGAACATAAATTATATTCCTTATATTTAATACACTGTTGCCTAATTTTTGGTTAAAATACAAAACTAAAATAATGGTTGTACTAGTATTATAAATTAGTAATAGAGAATATTGTATACCTTATCATCTAGAGTTTCATTCAAATTATCATTCGTTGGAGCTCCTTTGTTAATCGATTTTTCCATTTTCATGACTTGTTTTTCTAATCGCTGACGTCTCATATTTAAATGAGTGTAATATTTTTTATATTCTAAACTTCCTCCCTAAAAAATCACAATTTTTTAATTTATATGGTTAATTTTGAAATAAATATATTCAAAAATTTTCAAATTATATGGTAAGTCAACTGCAAATAGAACTTATTATACAACTACATATATAAGTAATACTTTTAAAAGAAGGTGGATTTCAGTATGATTTCCAACAATATCAGTGATAGATTGTAAATTTGAATTGTAATTTTCTTCTAAAAAACATAAAGATGTGGATCCTGATAAAATTTGAATAATATTTTCATAGTTTTGTAGTTTTTTTTGGAGTTTTGAACACAATATAACTGCAAATAAAAATTACAAAACAATTTGAGTTTAGAACTTGTAAATTAGTTTGTATTACTTTCAGATTGATCTTTATTAAAATTATTAATTGATCGTATTCTACGTATTGCTGTGATAATGTCTCTCACAATTTCCATATCAGCATCTAACTGTTCATTACGCCATTTCATATACTAGAAAATTAAATAATTACATAATTATTTTATATATATTAACTATAGTATACTTCTATTGAGTCTGGAAATTTAATATGATTTATAGATGTTTTGTTTTTTCCAGGTAAAGCACAATAAAGAGTTTCTGTTAAGAATGGCATGATTGGATTCATGAGCCTGAGAGATGTATCCAAAACATATAACAACACATTACAAGTTGCTTTAACTTCGTCATCACTTCCATATTGAAATATAGGCTTACAAATTTCCTAAAAGAATTTAAATTTAATAAAAATTTATTTTTCACGGTACAATTTTTGTTAGTAGCAATATATACCACGAAAACATCACAAAATTCGTTGTAAAAAAATCTTTTAACTTCCATCGTAGATATGTAAATATCATAATTTTGGAACGAATCGTTACATTTTTTAACACAATCTCCCAACCGGCTTAGTATCCAAAGTTGAGTAGAATTAATAGGAGTCGGAAATGTGTAATTATGCACATTTTTTTCAACTGCCCACATCAAAACAAATCTTGTAGCTTGCCACACTTTATTACAAAACATTCGATTTCGGTAACATTCATTTACATTAAAGTGAATAACTTGATCTAAATTAAGTAACAAAAATAATTACTCTCTAGTCTAGCACAACTGAATTGAATTTATTTTATTACTTTTGATGTTTTGAGAAACAAGGGTTAACCGTAAAGAATCTGTACCACATTCTTTAATGCCATCAGGAAACAGTTTTTTTTGTTCTATCAACGCTTTACTTAATTCACCATACGATATTGTACCAGATCTGGCACTAGCTTTAATTTTGTTTTGTAAATCCTAATTCATAAAATGAGATAGATTAAAAATAAAATGATAATTTTGATTGCTAACCTCTAATGAAATTCCATTAATGACATCTTCGGGATCAACAACATTTCCTAAGCTTTTGGACATTTTTTTACCACGAGAGTCTCGTATCATACCATGTAAAATCACATTCTAAACATAAAATTACTAAAATATAAATATTTTTTTATTTTTATATTATTTATATAAATGTCAGAATTTCATACTTTAAAAGGAAGTGAACCAGTTAAATATGTTCCAAGCATAACCATCTTGGAAACCCAAAATGTTAAAATATCATGTCCAGTTTCCATAACACTCAATGGGTAATATCTTTTAAAATCTTCAGTCTAAAATTATAAGCTCGGAGTAAGAATCAGTTTTAAAAATAAAAAAAAACTATTAAATTTAAACCTTATCAGGCCAACCAAAAGAAGAAAATGGTAATAATGCAGAGGAAAACCAAGTATCTAAAACATCTTCTTCTTGTTGAATATCTAAAGTAGCCATTTCTTCCTCTGATAGTTTCATCTTAGCTCCAATTTTTCTAATAGCTTCATTTTCATTATGTGCAGATACCCAACCGTATTTAGAATTATATAATGGTAATCTATGGCCCCACCATAGTTGTCTAGATACACACCAATCTCTAAGGATATATCAATAGTTAATATGATTTGGATTTGTTTAAGTCAAAATTGTATACTTAGAATTTTTATGCCATAAATGCCATTGATTATGATAATGATTGGGTTCAATCGTTAATTCACCACTTTCAAGAGACTCCGATGCTTTTTTAGCCATTTCTTTACAATTAATAAACCTTCAAAAGAAGATTGTTAAATAGGTAAACAAAAAAGTGAAAAAAAACCAAATTAGGTAGGTACCATTGTAGTTTAGGTAAATGCTCTATTACATCACCAGTTCTACTACAAATAGGAATTGACATAGTATGTTCTTTTCTATTCCTTAGTAAATTTAATTCTTTTAGTTTTTGTGCTATTGCAGTCCTAGCTTGATACCTTGGTAGACCCTTTAATTAAACAATTTTTAAATTAATTTATGTACAATATTATGTTATTCATAACTTACATTAAATTCTTCGTCTTTACAAGATATGTTACCAGATTCATCAATGACATTAATAATTGGGAGATTATGCTTGATGGCTAATTCATAATCAAAAACATCATGCGCTGGTGTCAGTTTCACAGCTCCTGGAATAAAATATAAAAATAAAACTCAAATATCACAATTATTGAAAACGTATTTAATACCTGTGCCAAAATATTTGTCTACAGAATTATCATAAATTATTGGAATAGTACATTTTCTAAAAGGATGCCATAATTTAACACCATCAAGTCCTTTGTATCTAACATCATCAGGGTTCACAGCAATTGCTACATCTCCAAGCATGGTTTCTGGTCTAGTAGTTGATACTATGATTTCTTGGTCTATTGAATGGTAAAAGACATTATTATTGTATGGTAAAAGGTTTTTTTTTTCATTTACGCACAAACCTGAATCATGAAATTTGTAAGCTATATCAGTCAGAATGCCAAACTCAGCAGGTATATTATTTCCTGGTATGGTGATATAGGTCTTTCCAGAAATTTCCTTATGGTCTATTTCAATATCAGATACTGTAGATTGTAAAGTACAACACCAATTTACTAATGCATATTTTCTGTACAGAAGTTTATCTTCAAATAGCCGAATTATAGCTTCAGAAACTGCTCTATTTTGTTTCTAAAAATTAGATAAATTATAAAAAAAAAAAAAAAAAATTAATTAGTTAAACGGAAAATTTGTAATTGTATTATGTGGCGTAAATACATTTTATTAATTTAGATTATAGTTTATCAATTCAAATTGCTTCATAATACAAATGTTTATCAAAAAATAAATTTAAAATAAAAGTACTTTGTCCATAGTGAAAATTTCTCTGTCCCAATCTAATGTCACTCCAAGATTTTTTAATTGATTTCTTATCGTTGACATTTTATTTTCTTTCCATTTTATCACTTCTTTATTGAAAGCTTCTCTACCTATTTGATGCCGGCTAACATTTTGTTCGGCATATAGTTTTTTTTCTACAACTACTTGAGTGGCAATTCCAGCATGGTCGGTACCAGGTACCCATACTACATCCATGCCTTTCATTCGGAACCTAAATAAAAATTAAAAATTAACTAATTTGTAGAAAAGTTAATTAAAGTTAAGTCCTAACCATCGAGCAATAATATCCTGTATAGTAGCTGTGAGCGCATGTCCTAGATGTAAGGATCCAGTGATGTTTGGTGGTGGCAATATCAAAGAAAAAGTCTTTGAATTATCACGAATCCGATTGTCTACATGGTATGTCATGGTTTTAGAATTTTCAACTATCTTAGGATCATATTTCATCGGTAACACTTGGTTTTTCCCTGAAAACATTTTAAACAATGTACAAATTTCCTAACAATAAATGTGTTCAAATAAATAGTTAACAATAATTCACCATGCTTAAAATCTATTGAGTAACAGTAACATCCAATTCTTTTGATTTTTTTAAATTGCCTACAATTCAGTAATATAATTTTCATATTATTATTTTTTACAATATTTTGACTTAGGAAACTTGTATATACAATTTTCATTCATAATTTTGGTTTATAGGACATTAAAGACAAAACATTTTAGTTTTTTAATGATATCATATTTAAAAACGTGCGAAATTATCAGTTGAGATATCACCTCTGAATGTTGTTATCATTTATAATTTTAAAATGTTTATCAGGTATTTGGAGTTAACATAATTGTAAAATAAATCTAATTCAATTTTAAAATTATCAAAGAATTCAAAAATTTGTGTTCTGGCAATATTATTTAGTTTGTGTATTGAATAGTAAATCTATAAAAACTGCTTTGGTTCTACACATTTATTTGAAAATGTCATCTAAGTAAGTCAATGTGAATATAATGAAAATGAAATCAGATAATTTTTTAATTTTATGATTTTTAGTACTTTTAGAATTTTAATGATTTTATCCTGCAAATATCTCTTACACTTACACCTCTGTAAAAATATATTTATTTTAGGCTTTCCAAATTATTTGATCTTTCTTTGATTTCTTTGATCTCCCTCCGGTCACTTAAATAAATTCCTTGAGCCCATTTTATGTAGACTATATATATATATATGTATTTTACAACATAAAGGATTCTAGTGGAAATGTTTGAATTAATTAATACTAAGTATCTTGACTATTTTGTAGTAGTGGAACACAATAAATTTATTACATTTCATTTTATAATATTAATTTTAAATGTTGTTCTTAAAATATCGGTATACATATCTTAACCATTATTTTATTACAACATATTTGGTGAAATTATAAAATATTTTTATTTTTTTATACTCTGTGTAAAAATTATGATTATTTTTGGTTTAGGATTAAAATTGGTCAACATGCTATGGTATGTAAAGAAATTAAAGTAAAGGGTCAAGTAAGTTTTGGTGCGTCAACTATAATTCATCCTGGTGTTACGATAATAGCTGAAGCTGGACCTATTGAAATAGGTGAAAATAATATAATTGAAGAATATGTTAATATCATTCATAAGTAAGTTTTGATGTTGTAAGAGTTTATTTTATTTTTTTAGTTATTCATTTTTTCAACATTCATTCAATTTGCAATATTTAATAATTTTAAATTTTTGTAAATAATGTATGTAGTTGTTCAAAAATAAAACTATTTATTTTCATATCCTGTTTTATAACATAATTATAAAATTATATTTTAATTACAATTATTTATTTATTTTACCAGATTTCCTTCAGGAGAAGAAAAACCAGAACCTATAACACTAAAAATTGGTTCCAACAATGTATTTGAAGTATATTCAACGATTGATGGAGTTAGTAAAATTGGAGACAACAACATATTTGAATCAAAAAGTTAGTTATTTTACGTGTAACAAAATATTTTATTGAATTTTTATTTTGTAACTGTATTAAACTAATAATAACAATTTTTAAATATGAAGGTTATGTTGGTCGAAATTTATCAATTGGCAATGATTGCATTATTGGAGCTGGATGTCATTTAACATCTACTGTGCCGATTGAAGATGGTGTTTGTGTGTATGGTAAAAATTGTACAAGGCAAAAAGCATTTTGTAAGCCATCTGTAAGTAAAAATTGAATTGCATTATTATTATTATTACTATTATTATTATTATTATTATTATTTTTATTATGTTATTATATTATATTATTATTATAGTTTTTTATTATGTGGTTTACTTCAATCATTATAGGTTCCTGCAGGCCATCGTGAGTTTCTTACAAAATTGTTACCAAGTTACCATCTATTGAGAAAAAATAAAAATCCAGTTGAAGGAAATTAATACATGCATAATTTTAATCAACTGCATCATGCACTTACTGTATTAATTCTTAATTAATTATTAATTAATACATGTATTAATACATACTGTATTTATGTTTTTTGTTAGAATATTACTTTTTTTAATTATTTTTTATATTTTAATAAGATACTAAAAGGTTGTGTTTGAATTTAAATCCTAATTATTTTATTTTATTATACATTTTCATATATAAAAAATGAATAGTTTATCAATACAATTATCTACAATTGTAATTTGTTGACTGTTAATAATTTGAATGAATGTAAATGAAGAGCTTACAATCTATATACTAGTTGACAATGGTGTAACTAATAAATACAATGATAATCCAAAAACCATTTTCATCAAGAAAGGATATTTGATAAAAACAAAAGTTGAGTAGTATATGTAATCAGATATAACTGGTTTGCATGTTAATTTAATTTTTCTAAAGTTTTATTAGTAAATTTGTTTGAAAGAAATTGTAAATTCTTACTTTTAAAAAATGATTCTGAGCAATGTTAGGTGAAAAATTAGAAAATATTGTTGTATGATATTTTAACTCAAAATAATTACGTAAATACATCATAAGCCTTAATATTTTCTTGTGGTTGAAAACGGTAGCAGTTTAAAGTTATAATAAATGCAATAATTTTTCTAAATACATCGCCCAATGTATTTTGAATGTTAAATATTTATTTCAAAAACCTTAAAATTCTAAATGCAGCTATACCAATGTTTTAACAAATACTGTTGTAGAGGTCTACGTAAAATGCTGTAGTACTGAAAACAGTTAAGCTGGACCGTTGGTTGAATGTAACTTTAACCATTCCAAAAGTTATATTTACCAAAGATAACCAATTTGGGGCAATCTCAATAGCATCAAGATTCAACATTGACCATTTTCATTATTAATTCAACACAAACATGAAAAAAAAAAAAATCTTTATTACATAAAAACCATTAAAACCACTAATTATAAACAAATTATTATCTGCATCTATTCTATAGAAATTTATAGGATCTTGTAAGTTTCCTCACCACCTTAGCTTTTATTAAGCGACAACGAATTACAATACCGTGCAATAAAAGCCTGAGGTATTACACATGTTACGTTTTTTTTTATAGTGATATTCCAGTGAAGGCATAATCCATTTGTTCTACAAAGAATAATATTTTAAAGCTACTGATTATTTTAAACACTTTCAAACTTGATTATATTAATTATGTAATCTAGTGTTATATTACAATATTCGGAAATAAGTAGATTGTACTAATATTATATCAAGTTCGTAATGAATTACTATTTGAAATATTGAGGGTATAAATAATACATGAAAATTTTTAAAATCAGTGTTTTTCATAATTGTTCATATACCTACCTATTTATGATGTCATAGAACTAATTTAAATTCTTAATCATATTGATAATAGAAAATTTTTCATGTATTGGTAAGTATTTTAATTGTTATCTCTATTTCTGTCTAACCTATTTCACTCACAAAAAATCTTCAAGGAATTGTTGGTGAGCAATGTTTTAACCCTAACTACCCTTAAAAACGAAGGAAAAATATTATATATGTATAAAACCAGTTATGTTCATTCGGTCTGGTGCTTAGAAACCATTTGCCAAGACTGTGTATACGGGACCTATAATTATAACTAAACATTGTTAAAATTTTAAGTTATAGAACTATTGAAATGCATACTATCAATAAAATTTTAAAAATTGTATACCTATAACATTATTAGATGTGTAATAATGATTGGTCAAATTTTAAGGAAAAATCAAATTACATTTAGTAGATACGTATAAATTATGTATTTCACCGTAAAATATAAGAAATAAAACACACATAAAATGTATCTTTGTATAATTAATTAATCTTGTGTCTGTACACGATTTAGATGATGGAAAACTATCAGGTTGTATTGGAGGGTGGAGTGACCCAAACCAAATAGACCAAATCGATCTTGAAATTCCTGATTGGTCCAAATGCATTTGAAAATTATATACTTGTATACAGGATATACAGGCTTTTAGTAACATATAGGTATGAAAAAGTTTTTTCATTTCAGATTTCAGTCACCGTAAATATTGATTAGAAGACAAGTTCTCGCCTTTTTACTATGTATATATATGTATATACAGCGTGTTTCACTCAAACAGTAGTACAAAATATTTCTGTTTAGTGATCTCGGATTGAAATGAGATATTCAGGAGGAGATGACTGAAATACACATTTTTTAACGATTTTCAAATATCTAACCCTTTTAGTCTGCGCGTGTAGAATTTTAATTTTATTTAAATTAAAACTGGTATTTTAGCACCAGAATAGGATAGATCAATTTTTTTTTCAACAAACTATTTTCCCATCTAAAAAATTGACTGATTTACATCGAGTAAAAGTTGTAACAAAAAATATTTTTGTTCAGTTTTTAAAAATTTACAAATGTCTGTATTTTGTCATTGTAAAAATATTTATGATTGAAAACAAAATACACGGAAGAAGGAATTGTAAAGGTTATTTAAATTCAGTTTAAGCTAAATTTTTCTTTTAAACGATTTATAACACAAAATACTCATCGTTTTCTAATGAATTGTTTGAAGTATTATCCATTGTGTTGTAATAGAATGGTGCGACGGAAAGGGTTAAATTTGAAAATCAAAAATTGTGTATAAATATTTTGTGTGACTTCCGATTTGAATGAAACCCACTGTGTATATGTTACGGGCTAACTTCTGAAATGTCCGGGCAAAACGCGAACTACCCACAATCCTTGGGCAAAATGTTATATTTCGGCTTTTGACCGGGAAAACCTAGTTAAGATAAATCTCATTTGAGCAAAACCGTATACTGACTTTCATCGTAAGGACAAAATCAAATAATCACAAAATAAACATTATTGTTTAAATATAATTGAATACACTTAAATAATAATAAAAAATAATGATATTAAGTACTCGTATAAAAATAAGCAAATAATAATATTAGGTACCTACTCTTATAATATTAAAAAAATTAATACATTTAAACATTATTTGGGCAACTACAGTACAATATTGTACCATTTAGATAAGGTATACTTTGTGTAACTTTAAGAGCACGTTATATCCGCATGTGTTGTCTCCGTCTGACATACGTAGGTACAAAATAGCAAATTTACGTTCAGTGATTCAAATGTAGTGAAGTTAGTTTTAATATTAAAGTAAATTGAGCTATAATCAAACTTTAAGAGAAGAACATGTGTTTTGTTGGTCGGTTTTTTCCCATATTTTAATTTTTAAGAGTGTTATGAGTATGTAAATTATAACAATTAAAAAAACATCATCTCACAAAAAAATTAAAATATCGGAAAAAATTGACCAACAAAACACAGATAATGTTCTTCCCTTGAAGTATGATTAAAGGTCAGTTTACACTAATATTAAAGCTAACATCACTACATTTGAATCAGTGAACGCAAATTATCTATGTTGTACGTATGTCAGACGGAGACAACACATGCGGGTGTGACGTCCTCTTAATATAACGAGTTGATAGAGTACGATAGCAACGATAAATTAACAAGATACATGTGGTCATTTATAATCGTAATAAAATCGAGAACGATAGAAATCACTATTTGTATTTATTAATAGTGATTTTTATCTTAAGGGCAAAACCGTAGTGTATGGTTTTGCCCAAATGAGGTTGGTCATAACTAGGTTTTCCCGGTCAAAAGCCGAAGTATGACATTTTGCCCAATGATTGTGGGCAATTCGCGTTTTGCCCGTAACATATATACGTATATATATATTAATAATAATATATAAATAATGTATTAATAATAATCTGTTGATACTTAGATCTTATACATATTTCTTCAACACTAATATGTAACGCATCAAACAATCCTAGTTCGTATCTTCTTGACCATTGTACATTGTTCACTAGAAATCAACGGCCAACAAAGCGAAAAAGGTCATATTAGTAGTTGAATAATCATAAGACCTTGTCCTGAAAATATATTTGTAATACGCTAATTCGATTAATGCCTGTATAGATACATATGCCTCGGCCATTGGTAATGAGAGTGGGGGCAGTGAAATTTCGATTTTAATCTAAATGAGGAGTCAGTGACGCCGAAGCCACTGGTAGCAACTGAGAAACAGGTGTTGCTTCAGAAAGCTCAAGTTTTTATGGCAACGGAGGTGGTACTGGTGGTGATGATGGTCGCGTTGCAGGTGACGACCCAGGACCCACTTCATCAGAACTTTTAGTAACTTGAGGAGCTGATGGTTGTTCGGGTGTCACAGGTTGCTCCGGTAACGGGGGTGCTTGTGGCGGCTTAAGATGCGCTGGTGGCGGAATTATCATATCTGTACGCCTCGGTATTTTTCTAATTTCATCGCCAGGTTTCCTTAGCTGCTTAAACATGTCATTCAATAAATCATCGTTTATTGAATATCTTTCATATTGTTTTGCTTGAGGCCCTGCCGGCGGGTGTGGAGGCGGTGGCGGAGGCGGTGACAGGGGCACTGAATGTGCTGTTTGTGATGCCGAACGAATTTCTGGCGACGTGGTTCGTTTCGACGTTGGAGAAAAGAATGCTGGTTTATCTCGATTTTCGTTAATAACGTTTGGCACAGACAAATTGACTCCTCCTCTCAAACACGCAGTTGACATTATCAACATTTCTTGCATGGACCGTTCTGATTTATGTAACATTTCTTCTGCAAATTATTTATGATAGAGTAAAAATGCAGTAAGTTATACATATAATAGCCGATTCAATTAACGTAACGATTCTAACTTTCGATCATGTAGAGTCGCATTTTCAGTTTTTCGTACTTCCGGTTGATCCTGTCGGTTCTCTCATTTGGTGATCTTATACTTTCTATGCTTCGACAAAGCAATATGTGATTAGTAATTATTACCGTTATAAATGTAAAAATACTCATATAAACTATATATTACTTTCATTGTCTTGTAAAATATTTTTCGCTTGATTTATTTTTTTCTTCATAACGTTTTTCATGTTTTTAATATCTGTTTTGTACTGTTTTTTCTGGACGTTATTTTGTCTGTTACCTAGAATCAGATGGTTTTTTTCGTTTAATCGAGATAATAAACCAAAAATTCCATATATTTTGATGAAAATACATTTGCGTTCAACTACAGCTAATTTTAATTTCAAGTTGTTTATGTCTGCTGCAGTCGTATAATATGCCTTATTGTTTAATTGTACTAATTCATTTTTTTCAGTTACTAGTACGTCCATCGTTTTCTGTAGCTCTTCAATCTTTTCATTGATATTATCTGAAAGTGAAATACGTGTAGGTGTACATTATATTATTGTAATTGAGTAAAGAATGTGAGTAAAGTTTAATTACAATCGACTTGGTCCGTCAAATTTTTAAAGCCTAATTCCATGCAAGTCTTTAACTGTTGTTCGAATCTATTGAAATCGTCTTGTTGTCTTGTCGTTATTTGTAATAACAAATCTATATAATATGCACGCAAAAATATTTGAATTACGTTTTTAAATTTATTGAAACTTTAATCTACCGTTATTGTTCGACATTTTCTGTTCCATAATACGATTTCTATCTTGTATACGACCCAATTCCACGTCCATATACTTTTTAGAATTACTCTCCAGTTTAGCAACTAAACTCAGTAGGAAATATGAAATTATCTATCAATATGTATACAAATCTAACTGTTTTTATTTCAATATAATTACAAGTAGCGGAGTCTTTATTGGTTTTCGAAACTTGTTCCGTCAGAACTTTTAACTGCTCCACTACTTGATCGTACTTTGCGTTTTTATTAGAAATATCTGCCGCGTAAGAATCTGTATTTATACACGGAAATTATATTGTACAACGTTTTTAGCTTTTCATAATATTAATATTATATAATTATTTCCCTTACCTTGAATCGCTTGGAATCTGTGTTCAAACAAACTCTGTTTTTCTCTCATTGAAGTTAACTCTTTTGCCAACTGTTTATTATCCTTGCTCAGCTCGATCACAACTAAAGATCAACGTTAAATTGTCATTACTTATTGTGTAAATGAAAAATTAAGAGTTAAAATTAAAATTGGAAAGCGTAATATATAGCATAATATGAATTTTTGTTATACTTAGCATTGTGTTTTCTAAAGCTACATGGATTGCATCCTCATCCATTTTCATCTTCATATCATCAATAATTATTCTTTTTTTTCCGTCACCAGAATCTAATCGAATAGATAACATTGATTGTTAATGCTATTGTTATGTCACTTTAGATTGGTGTGTTGAACAAATTTTTTGTGAGGAGCAAATATGTATACAAGGTACAGTATTGACAAAAACGTATGCAAAGTCGTCAGAATTATAGCTGGTTTATATTTGGCATTTAAAAAACGTAAATTACAACAAGATTACCTGCAGTGTTCTCATATGTGCTCTTGTTGTACGTGGGTGAATAATGAATCGACAACAAGTCTCTCGTCGTTCCGACAGAATAATTTTCATCGTCAATCTTAAAAAATAAATACGAAATTCACTTCAGTTAATAATGCAGTTCATAAAACCCATTGACAACGTTCTGTAACAGTATTTTTCTGACCTTCCGTTCGGCAACAGGAGTGATTTTCTTCGGTCTAACTTTGCCGTACACCCATCGAAGCTGTTTGAAGAATGATTTCTTCAAACTGCGTGAAGTACGATCCGAAGTCTTTTTCTCTGCGGTGGAATTCTTCGAACTGATAAACACTTGTCGTAGATTTTTCATTCTTGCAACACTTGATATTGCTCTTTGCTAAATCAGTTCCGTATACGTCGTATATTATACGAATCGAATTTCACGAGTCACAATAAAGAACGTAAGTTAAATGCTATAAGACAATTGACTGCGACAAGTAGAGGTCATAGAACATTTAAAATGACGATATTATTCGTTTCGGCAAGGTTATTTATAGTCTGCAGTATGTTGATTTCATCTCCATGGCATATTATTCGAACCAGCCTATAAATTTAACAATTTATCGAATTCGAACCAGCTTATAAATTTAACAGTTTATCAAATTCGAACAGCCAATAAAATATTTAATCCAATGGACGGCAACGGACTGTGTTATCCATAATTCATTGTATGTATTACAAATAGCTGTAATTTTATTACAAATACTAAAAAACTTACGAATCATAATCTATTCATTTTTTATGAAAAATAATATTATTTTATTCCATTCGCCGATGTCTGACAGAATTATCCCAGAATATAACATTAATTCTGTATTAGTTTTGCTTATGAATCAATTCATTTTGAAAGATATCATTTTTGATGTAGAAATACATAACTGTACAAGATGCGTAAAATGTTTTTGCTAGTTTACTTAATGCAAATTATCGCTTTTTTTCGTTGTAAACAAGAAATTATATAGATTGTAATATTTATGTTATTTATGGTAGATAGTTTTAGACCAGGGGTCCACCCAACCATTAAAAAAGACAGGGGTAGTAGCTACTACCCTTGAACCCTCCAATGTGCGTCAATGCATGTGGCTTTTAAAATAAAAGTCTACCCACGGGTTATGCAAGCGTATATTATGCATAACCCGCACACACACGTTTATGTATACATTTATCAATATTATACCGAGTATCCAAAAATTAGATTTTATTTTAAATAATATGTTCCACGGGTCAAAATCAAAGTATATTCGAGGAGAAGGTAGGTAAAATCATACGAGTGATATTGATAATAGAGCAGGAATATGGAATGTTGAAATAATGGAGTAACCGAGAATTCAATTGATATATTGAATAATTAACAATGATAATGAAGTAAAAGCAAAGGCGACTTTTCGCGAGCATACAAATGAGAGCGAAAGCATGATATATTTGTTTTCTATATATTCGGCACTGAAAATTAAAACGTTTTAGAATAACCCATTCTTAGACTTAAAGTTTATTGAAAAATATTTAGTACTCCTCTTTTATTGTTACTAAGAAATACTTGATTATAACGCGAATGTGAAATATTGTACAAACCTAAGTCTAATCTCGCTAAAGGGTATAATCACCACATCATGGCAAAGTATAAAAACAATCTATTTCAGTATTTTTTCTCGCTCTATACTGCTACGTAAATTATTATCGAGTTGAACTTTGATTTTTTTGCGATTGACATAATTTTATAATTTATTCGATGAGCCATTATTGCCGGTTGGAATCAAGGTGATAACACTGATCACGAAAATTATGAAACGGACTTCACGAACTTGAACATTTAAAACACCGATGGGTTTAACATATCTAGTTATTAAATACTTTGTTGTTGGACAATATTGTTATTATTAACACAGCCGATATTTATTTATCGTTACACCAGCGATACCTCGCTCTATTGTGATTGTGTATTCTCATTGTTCAAGTAAATTTTTATTATACTACATAAATTAATATTCAAACACTACTTTGCATAAACGTTCTAATTTATTTAATTGTTATTTTGATCCACAATAGGTTTGGCCAAGTAATGGCAATTTCAGATAACAATTATGCTTCTGACGGAGAGAAATTCAATCCCGCGAAAGACGTATATGCCGGATTAGTACGTGAAGTTGGAAGCAACGCTATATGGAGTTTGTCTTCATGCAAATCAGGTAACGTAATGATGTTTTTTCACACCATGAACCTGATTAACTTATCAGCAATTAACCTATTTAAATATGTATGAAATTAAAAATGTTTAAACAAGTACAAGTAATACTATTGGTGGTATGAAGGCATAATAATTGACCATTATAACCATTATCTGCGATAATACTTTTATTGAATGAAGAAAACTGAATAAGATACGATCACACTAGTTTAATTTTTATTTTACATATAATTAATATAACTAATAATTAAACCTAGTTCATAGATATTATTAAGAAACAAATTACAGTCGAATATCTATTTAAAAATGTACTGTATCATACTATCTATTTAACTTTGGAACTATAAAATTTCTATTAAAAAACGTTTCTAATTAACAAATTAAATTCATACTATTATTTTAAAATAAATTTTAAATTATTGTAGTGTATTGACTATGCACTCGTAATAATCTTAAGAAAAAATGTAATGAGCTATAATACGGATGCATATAATATACTAATTATTAATTACTAATTAATTAATTAACGCATATATATTACTAACATACTATTATTCAGTGGCGCAACCAGGATTGGGTTTCCGAGGAGGGAGGGGGGCTTTGGTATTAATATTTTTTTTAACTATAATTGATCTTTAATGATAATCTCTTAAAGAATATTCTTAAACAAAAATATTATCTATGTTGAGCAGCTGAACAATAAACATAATAGTCTATAGCAGAATAGCATTTAAGATTTAAAAATTCAAAAATCTAGGCTAAACGTTTAGATTTTAAAGATACTGAATTTACATTTACCATTTCCCTTATAGTTGAATTAATTTAATATTTTATATGTTTATATTAATCATGAATCATGATATCATATATATAATGATTCATGATGAATATGATATATTCACTTTAAAAGCATGCTTTTAATATATTAACTAATAAGACCTTTCTTATTTAAATGTAAAGAAAAAAAATACTTTCTTTTTAGTTAAATACCTTTTTTAACCTAATTAAACTTTATTTTACGTATCACTTAATTCATTAATTATTTTAGGTTTTGGTGTTGACTATTTAAGAGATAATTGTATGGAAACTTACTGGCAGTCTGATGGTAAACTTCCACATTTAATTAATATTCAATTTAGACGTAAGACAGTTGTGCGTGACTTATGCATATACATTGACTATAGACTTGATGAAAGTTATACGCCTGACCGCATATCAGTACGAGCAGGCACACATTTTAATGATTTACAAGAAGTTGAAGTAGTGAAACTCAATGAACCATGTGGCTGGGTAAGAATAATGACTAAAAATATCAACGATTCACCGTTGAAAACTTATATGTTACAAATTGCTGTTATTACCAATCATAAAAATGGAAAAGATACACATATAAGACAAATCAAAGTGCACTCTCCTATTGAAAAAAAAGACCCTCTTATGGGCGTTTTCAGTACTGTAGAAATGAGACAATTTACAATTATTAAATGAACTATTTAATTAAATTTTTTTTTTTAATAATATTTTAAATGGAATTTAATTAATGTAAATAATTATGAGAATCTATGACATGAAATGTTAATTTAACAATTCTATTTACAACTAAATTACTATTTAAAATGCTTGAAAAACTTTAATTTTATTGACTCAAATGTTAGATCTTTTTAAATCATTTTTTAAACCTAGATATTGTCTATAATTATTTTGTTGAATTATAATTTTAAATAATAAAATAATAATACGCAATTTATAGATTTAAAAAGTGTAACTTAAATTTACCTACTTATTTATGCATTTTTAATGTTGAAGATATTTTGCTATTGTATTATAAAATAAGTTAATAATTTAAAACTGACTTAAGTATTTTACTAAAATATTTTTTTATGTTCTGTATAAAATTGTATTATAGTAAAGATTTATTTATATTTATAATGATCTAGAAAGTGCCATATTTTCTATTGTTACAATCTAGTTTTTGATTTGTGACCAAAATTATTGAATGATTTATATTAAATAAAACATATAAATATATAAAATATTTGTCAGTTAAAGATTATAAGATATATATCATATTAATCTTAAAATCTTCAATTTACAATTATTCTATATATTTACATTTAATGGCAATAATTTAAAATATTTTTTATTTGTATACGTTGTTTTTATAAAATGTAATCATGTATTTACTAATTATATTAAAAAAATCATTTAACATAGGGGATTGGATGAATCATAGGGGTCTAAAAAGACACGAACAAAAGAGTGAAATTAGTGAATTGTTCTTTCAAATGTTAAATCAATATACCGTTGGTTTCGAAAAATGATTTTGAGCGAAGGTGGTTGGTGAATCCAATTATATATACTTGTATTAAAAAATAGTTTGTATTATTGCATTCGTTTAAGAACCACATTAGTTTATACCTATATCTATGTTGGTTAAACATATTTGATAAAAAAAAAATCGCATATAAATATAACCTTTGGGCTTTAAAAAATTTATTTCAAACGTCGATGTTAGCTGTTATACACTATACGTAATATCGATCATTTTGATGAATGATAAGATTTGATTTAAGTTAGATTTATAAGTTCGTTTACCATGGTGTCTAATATTTCATTATCGTACTATGTTCGATTAAGAGAAATTCTACAACAAACCTGTATCCTTAACACGGCGTTCTGTGCAGGCAATTTATGATCATAAATTTTAAAACGTGAACATCGTTTTGGTTTTTTTTTTGTACGAACGCTGTTACATGGAACGAAGGTAACATCTACATGATAAATATCGTATTAATATCTATCAAGTTCCATACCAATGTACTTAAGCCAACCGTCGAAGCCAATTTGGTTTGTATTTAATGCTGGGTCCAACGCTGAGTGTGATTTTTGTTTTGTTTTTATTTTCAAAACTCTTTAAATTGTCCCGTCAATCATAGAACCGTGGTTATACTGGTCGACTACAAATCATGATAAATGTTATAATTCGTAGCATTTCAACGGGTTTTGGTCGTTCCCATGCAGTTGGATTTGTATCCAAATAAATCTGTCAATAACCAAAATAATTACCAATTATAATCATTTTACGCATCGGGTGTTTTTGAATAAATACATTCAATTTATAATATAACGCACCGCAAAACCGAGCCCACGTGGATAATTATAACATGGTTTTAGCATGGTTTTCAAAAGAAGATCGTTTTTTTTTCTTTTTCTGAACATTATTAGATAGAGATGATTTCGCATTCGCAATAATTTTCTTGTTCTTCTATCGTATCTACGACATTGCTGTTTCATAAATAGTTGATTTGCCATTTAGTATTGACTGCTGCGAGTTAGGTATTGATTTTTTTTTTTCTGATCTGTGTAGCCCATTAGTTAAACTATAATTTGTATGTATTGTTAAATTGTAAAAACGAATACATTTTTAAAACGATCCTTTTAAATTAAAGAAATATTGAAAAATCGGAATTTTTCAAAGGCGTAAAATAAAAAAATAATATAAAAACATTTTTAAAACTTCTAAAAATGTACTTACCTTGTTCCGCAGTATCGATAATGTATATCAAAAGAAAAAAAAATCAAATCTAAAACGTGTGCACTTAGTACCAAGTGATACAATAAAGAGAACGCAATGATAACACTATACCTTCAAATGTATATATTGTATACGCTTATCTGGGAATTCAGCAAGGTTAGAAATTTCTAAATTTATCATAAGCTTCATTTTATCTCTAACAAATATAAATTCGATAATGATTTTATGTCATAAGTGGTATATGACACAATCTTAAATTTTCATTTAGGCAAGCTAGATTACGTTTCCGACCACTGTACGGCGCAGGGGAAAAACGACCGAATAATGTTACCGGCCGGAAGTGAGGGAAAAAACCCCTTTACTTCAAAACTTCCGTGTTTGAATATTTACATAAAGGTAGAAATATTTTTTGAAAAGGTTTCGGAACCGGTTTTCGTGCAGAAACTGTTAGCCGGTTTTCGTCGGCGAACGGTTTCGGAAAGACTCGAACCGAAAAAAAAAATAAACCACCGATTTTATACGAGTATACCAGTGCACTTGTACCGACCGTTTATTCGACCCGAAATTCGGGTCGGTTTGATTTTCAACAAAAAAATGTAAAAATTATGTTTGAATATTCTTGCCGAAAACTGTCGACACCATATACTTTTAAAGTAATATTTATGAATTTTTTTATTCATTTTTAAAATAATTTTATCTACCAATTGTTATCGACCATTTACACATTGATTTTTCTATGCGTTGTCATAACGTAAACTCTTGACCGGTCTCAACTGAACAACTGGTGAAAGTATTTAAGCGGTTGAAAAATACGTCGCATTCGTTGTTACTATGTCGAAAATCGAGAAAGAACAACTAATACGTGTGGTATCAGTTAACTCCATATTTTTGAACATAATGTAAAATAGCCAACAGGTACACTGTTGCAGTAAAATGTATGCAACTGCACACTAACTGCGATCGCGTCAGCCGTCGAAAAATGAATGCAGAAAACGTAAAACGTGTGATGATATCCTGTCGTTACCGTCACGATACTACAAGATAGAGATGGGCAACTAAAAATTACTAGAGGGCCAATTTTTAGAAAACTAAAATCTAGCGAGCCAAACATAGGAAAGAAAAAAAGAAAAAAGAGGCCGTTCAAAATATGAATTTTAATTTGCATTTATGTACACAGGGAAATAAAAAATTCAACACACACGACAGCACGATACGAAAAAACTGATATAGTTAAATAGTTCTGCACAAACAGCTATGATTGATAGCTGTACGTGTACGTACACATGACATTTAGACAAAATTTAACTACAGATATATGTTAGTATATATCTGTGCATTTAAAGATGTTTAATACCAGATAACAATTATTAAATCGATAAGATAGAGTATAGACCAGCGGTGCTCAACCTTTCTGAGTTCGCGACCCTCTATAATGTTATCAATGTGTCCAACGAACCTTTTGTAATGTAAGCGTTGAAAATTTAGTGTAATTATTGTATTTATTTGTGTATATATTTATATATTTTACAAAAAAAAATATATATATATATATATATATATATATTGTAAAATCCGATTGGCGTTAATTAATAGAAAAATGATGTAAATTTTAACATTTATTTAATTTGACGACTCTTTTGCCGTTGTTGGTTGAAAACAATTATTTTTTCACACGATGCGACCCTGAAAAAATTGTGGGCGATCCCCGGTTGAGAATCGCCGGTACAGATGATGCATTTTAAAATTGTACGATGCAATTTGAAAACATAGCACGGGCCGCCAGTTGCCCACTCCTGGTACAAGAGATCGATAATGTTCCGCTATCGGTTCGGAGCTCGAGGACAGCGAACGGGCGACAGCTATTACGATCGAGCCGAATATTTTCCGGTCCGGGTCTATACCGCGCGGCGAATCGGCCGCGCGATACGATCGTCGACCGTACACGACGTGGTCCGTTTCGGCCGGGGCACACAATGGACGCGCGGCGCAACCTCTCTCGCGCCCGTCCCTATCGTCCGCCACATCGACGCGTCTCCGTCGCGTCCGCGTTTTCGCCTATCTGTCCGCCGTATCGTTGTCGCGTGACGTTGACGTGTCCGCCGAGTATTATTACATTATTGTGTTATGTATTACGGAACGTCACGGGGACGCACACGTGTCGGTCATGCGATGACGCGGGGCTTTTCTTTTTTTTGTTCTCCTCCGCACGGTTCTCGTCTCGCTTTCGTCGTCGCCCGCACGGCCAGGGCCGAGGGGCGACGCGACCATTTTTCCCCGGGCTCCGTGGTCGGAATACATTTTCGTGGGGGCCCCCACAAATTCTTGACGTATAATTATTATTGCCTCGATTGCACCGAGTAATTTTATACGCTGCGTGTCGGCGATTACGTTGAGCGATTAAATTGTAAGTAATATGAATAACGTTCAATTATACAATGTAAATATGTAACGCAGTACATGCGTTTAAATGAGCTTGGTTCGGAAAAATACGTTTGCGAGAATTTTGTTATTCTCAGTGAGTAATTTTTGTTTATCGTGTCTTTAACGGTCGAAGGGCCCTCGAATTAATTTGCCCCTGGTCTCGAAAAATCTTGGGACGGCCCTGCGCGCGGAGCACAACCATTTCGGAAGAGAACGGCGTCGACGCGTCGTACAGGATATTAGAAAACCGCGTCGTGTTCAGTCCGACGATCATTCATCAGAAATTCTTATTCGTCGGCGTTCGACGTCCGTAAAAGTTCGAAACGCGGCCGACGAATCGCGAAGCAACGTCGCATCGAATGCCGAACGAATTTGTTTCGCCGAACGTCCGTTTTGTAATTCGTTTCGGTTAGATATAAAAAGATTTTTTTTTTTTTCAGTTTCCACCCCACGAATGGTTAGTTTGTCGAGTATTCTATTGTGATTTTAACACGTGTGTCAATAGAATTTAAACAATTAATATCGTACGTTTACACAACAAGGAGGACGAAAATTAATTCGTGTAGTATATGAAGTGCGACGAGAAAAAAACCCAAAACGAACAATGTCATATTAAGGAAACGGCATCAGCAGAATAACAATAACGTTTTCGTTTTAAAAATACAAAATAATAGGGTATAAAATAATGTATATATGAAATTTAATACACTGTTCGTTCGGTGCGATGTCATCGGTATGCAATCAGTACATTAGTTGTGAATTTGAGATACTCCAAAAACTCTGTTGGACCGGTATAGTACATCCTATCCATTGTTACATTATTTCAAAATTGTTTTTTGGTTAGTACGTTATAAAAAAAAGAAGACGTTTCTGGTTGGATTTACATGGTATAACTATGATTTGTATTCCACCTACGAACCACCACAGCTACATAATAATATAATATACTTATAAAACGTATGAGAGACGTGATCGGGCGGGCTTTTATTTCGATGGAAACGAATAACGTTTTTGTTATTATTTTTTTTTTCAACTGGAATACGTAACTAACAAACGAAGATTGGCATAATAATATAATTTTAACATATTTTCACATTTTAAGCTATGATTTACGTGCGATAAATGTATTTGGTTTCACGATGATGATTTTCATTTTTCAGTTATTCAAGTATTATAATTATAGTTTTATTTAGCATGTTAATTAAAAAATAATTGTGTAAAATATGGATTTACTTGTAGAATATTAATCCAGCATGAAACCTTTATGGATGATTAATTCATATTAAAATTCCTATATTAACTAGGAGGGTTCTTCATTTTGATAATTTGCTTATTGATAATGTTTTATTCATAAAGGGTTGAAGAATATAAAATTAACAAATCGATAAAATGCATTCGTACACTACTAGAATTCTAAGTACAAAATATATAATATATATATATTATATATTATATATAATATATAATATAAAATTTCAAATCTCAATACTTACGTTTCTTCTGGTAAATATAAATTTTGTTTTCTTCGGTAAAACATTGCTTTTATTTTGAAAACTGATATTTTAACGTAAGAAAATCCTATATTTTGAAAAATATTCGATTTAAGGTTATTTATTGTACATGCATTCAATAATACCTTTTTGTTATATAACTTTCAGTTCAAGTCTTTGCTCGAACGAGATGACTTGTGGTTTTTTATAAACTATTAGCGTGATTTTAAAATTATCAAACCGTCTTTGGTACGACCTAAAGAAAGTTCATGATGCTTGTACGCTTAAGCCGTAAATGTTGTATAAACTAACCAATAAAATTGGCTGCTCTTTTATCGTGTCCTCTATATCTCGCCTAAGTATGTTCTGTACCTAAAAAACCGAAGGAGAATACATATCAATACTGAACACTGCACTGGAACGCATTTAATTTATTGAAATCGGGTCGCACACCCATCACTACATGAATCGGAATGATTGCAATACATATGCATGAATTGTAATATTATCGAATCGAGAATTCACGATACAACAACAACATGTCAATATTGTATTATTACCTGTTTTCATAAGATTTTTATAATTATATATTATAGAATTTCAATATACACACTTGTACAGTTCGACCGCAGCTGCAAGTCGGTCGATATAATATATTTTACGTGTGGTCGAGCCCGTCCACACGTATAAGTCGTAAAAATCGGATACCACATCGATTGAACACAAGCTAAATCGTGTTTTAAACGTCCGTACGCTCTAGATTTGCATAATATATCTATATACCAAAAAACAATAGCACTTATACTTATGGACTGTAGCACTTAACACGTATACACAAGTGTTCAAGTTATATTACGTCATATTATTATTATTATCACCGGCCGCAATAAAAAAATACGATTTTTCCCTGCAACGGATTCCATCGCGAATCTAATCGCAAATCGTTATCAATTATATATTGTGTATAATGCACGTCGCGACCTAACCCTTATGGGTGGTGGTACGGCATGTGAATACCATTTTTGCATATTGGCTCACACGCCCGTATTACTAAACAATAATTATTTTTGTCGCTTTACTTATTATATAATCGTCACTATTTTAGTAAAAAATACACGTCCGTTGTGTATACATTCGTGACTGCAGATTTTAATTCGCCGATGGATATCTTTCAACACAAGAAGCAACATAATTAAAATTATGCAATAGAGTAATAGAATCGCGAATACGTGGTAGTCGCTAATTTACGCGTTTACGTATTCTAAATTGCAACATTGTTCTTATTGATGATCTGGAACTTTTCGAAGAACAAGCTGCTTTTTTTTTTTCATTCTAATCAATGAATTCAGATACAATATTGGTATTATTATTATTTTCATGTAGAACATCATTTGTAGGTAAGTACATACTAATAGTTCAATAGAAGCTTATTAACCGGTTTAGTAGTGAGATTTAACATTTTTTTTAAGCCTAATAAATACTAACTATATATAGGTACCTTAATACACAAATGACTATTTTACACGTGTATATACCATCAGATACGTATACGTGTAGAAACGACATCCTGCCCTGATTGAGAAGTGTGTGTGTCGTAATTGCGCAATTACAATTTTTCGAATAGATACTAATTTTAAAGTCTTCAAGGAAGATAGCACCCTCAATTTATTATGTTCTAGCGATGGATTGCTAGCGATTGAAATTAAGAGACAGTATGATTTTTAATTTAAAAAAAGCCCAGATCCGTGAGTATATAAAAATACGTGATCTATGAATAATGTACATTTTTTGTACCTAATTAGTTTATATAGGATTTGTGTCATATGCCAAGCCTTTAAAATAATTTTTATCTCATATTTCCATAATTAGGAAGTTTTAATATTGCAATTATTAAACGTTAGGTTATAGATAATAAGTATGATTTGCACGCTTTTTTTAGGAAAATTGCTCTAAGTTTGTCGAACAATATTTTAGACGGTTTGGTGGTTTGACGAAAATTATATATAGATAATATAAATGAAATTGTATAATTATTTCTGTGTAGATTATGTATAAAATTATTACTTAAGAGTCATTGCAATAATATAGACATTTCGAAAGCCGTTCTCGTTTGAAGTATTTTTAAACCTTAAACAACTATATCTGTGATCTAAACGAGTCAAGTGTTTCGTATACCTACGTCCGTTTTTAAAATTATTTTAACACTGAAATTATGTCGAGGTATTATATTATTGAAGGACTATGCACTCAATATTATTATTGTTACAATGAACAATAAAAAAAACTGTTTCAAAATAAGTGATTCATATTTTTCCTGTTTGCCATGCATTGATTAGTAATTTTTAATACATAGTATTTACAAGGTCTAATTTGTGAATAATTTATTATTTCATGACTTTGTAAAATTTTATTATAACCCATTATATTTTCATAATTGTATACATTATTATTATGTGTTTCTAGAATGTTAAAACCCCTCTAGTTACGATGAGTGGACCAAATAATTATTTTACAAAACAACATGTAATGATTTGAGCACAATTTAAATTTATATAAAAGGTATATGCTATGTCCACAATAATTGATGAATATTTATAATAACCATAGGTTTAAGAGGATTTGTAATATTTTTGTTAAGGTTTTATGATATACATACGTCATTCATTCAAAACAAAAGTTTCTAAAAATAGTCATATATAGAGCAGAAGAAACATTTCAATTACATCAACATTTTGACAGTAATTTCGCTTATTTAAAAAAATTGTATTAGTAAATAATATGTGGAATTCGTTGATTAAAGATTTTAAAATCGCAATTTTACTATTTACAAAACCTTAGCATTATTTTTGTGTTTTTACATTTTTTCTATTCAGGAACAATGTGTTATTGTATTCTTAAGTTATAACAGAGCCTAATTTGTAAATCAGTTGTTTTCAGTTCAGAAGTTATTCAATAAAATGAAACCATTTTTTTATATGAAATTATTTTGCAGTAGAAAAAAAAATAAATGGTATATATAGTTTTATTTTTTTACAAAAACAATATTTAAATAATAATAATAAACTATAATTACTACTATATGTATTATTCTAAAATCGTTAACAATAGATTTATATATTTATGTAAAAAAATATTTGTTATACTTGTATATTATATATTATACTATTAACGACCGTTTAAAAAATAAAATAAATGATGGATCGTTAACATTTTATGGATTTGCTGTTGGATATTTGCGAAGGATTTATAAAACGGAATTGTGTGTGCTCGATTTATTGGTACAAAAAAATATATAATACTCCAATATACTAAATAATAATCGGTCCGTAGGAAGGAATACTCCACAGATAAAATATTTAATAGTATTTTATAATATTCCGATTTTGAATAAATTGTTTTTATTCGTAGACGTTTATTGCATTGTTTCTGTATTTTGAGAGGGGTATTGATGAAAATGCGTGTAGAAAAATAGATTTCGATTTGTATTTATATCTGGGCGCAATAGATTACGAACGTAGGTGGATTAGAGGAGGAACTACACATTGTCAACGGCAAAAAAGAACTCATTGTCAAAAAATATTTCTACGTTCATCGTAAAATTGCCATGAATTTGATGAGACAAGTATGTAATGATAATGATAATTAACGATTAATTATAGTTTCTTCGGACAGTGTCACACTCTCGTTGTATTACGAAAACGTAATGAATCCAGATTTTTATCTGTCCGTTTGCATTTGTATTCCGCGGTAAACTTATATGTCGATGAAATGCACTTGATTTTGTTGTTGATATTATCGATTTGAATCAAACATAGATTTATTTGTTAAAAATAAAACCTTGATGATGTAAGACGAAGACTTAAATTAATATTGATCAAGTGGCCTCAAGCTAACAGAAAGCCTTCGGCACTCATGTACACCACGAGAATAAAACAATATGATTGTTTCAAATAGAAAAATAAACAATTGTGTAATTATAATTAGATCAAGTACAAGTGTCGTTAACAGTGTACATATTTTCATAATTCTCTCGCGAATACAAATGGAGTCTTCTTCCGGCGATTAAAAGTGCTCTTAAAAATCGGCAAAAATCGATGAATCGACATATTTCCCGAAATCCTGGCACATAAATAAAATACGTTCAAGGTCGAGAAGTAAATTGTTCCACGAACTATTTATCTTAAACCATAGTGTCTTGTTTATCAGAATATCTTTAAAACATATTTTCATGCCTAAATACTATCACAAAAGATTTATAAAATATTAATAGTTGATAGTTTTTTCAAATTTCCAAAACATTTGAATACACTTTTTTTTATGCTGTGAATGTGGATGTACATTTAAATCTCGGAAGACCTCTATCAAGTTAAAGCTATGTTTTACATTCTCGTGAAAAGGAATCAAATCCCAACTTGTTGGAAATTATGTATGCATAGTATTCTGAATAATAAATAACAACTGTAAGGCTTATTATAATTTATATTTTCTGAAAACATTTTTTTTTAAACATTTAAAACGTATTGAGAACCGTTAGTTAAAAATCAAGTTTGTCGTATCGTTGTAAAGTGGATTTTTTATTTCTTTTTTTATAGTTTTTGTTTCTAATTGATAAAAAAACTCAAAATGGGTGAAGAATAAAACAATAGAGTAAAAAGAAAGACGACTTGAATTTGTTTTGTAAAAATTGTTTATTGATTTTTGTTACAGTTTTGTGAAAATTATAATACACCCCCAACTAAGTTTCCGGAACCGCCCATAAGACCGTACTCACTGATTTTTCTCACTGTTTACCATCTCGCATTCCTACGACGGTTCGTTAGGGCCCTGGTCATAATATTGTCGTTGTTGGTCTGCGTTACAGTACAGCATTCCTACGTTTGCCTTTCGCGAAATCCTTTTGGTGAAACATCAGACGTCGAGGCCATCATTACACATGACAGCGCGAAAGTCCAATGCAAAATGCACAGCTGCCCGGTGGCGGCAACATTTAACGCTTCGTCTGTACACTTGGTCTTTAACGGCAAAATCAAAATTTCGATCAAACTTCAGGATCTTAAAGAACAACCCTCAATTAGTGAATTTAAATTTTTTCAGATTTTTCCCAAGTGTTTTTAGTAAAAAAAAAGCACATCTGTCCATTTATGACTCAGTGTACAGACGTTTAAGGGTTAAATGCAAACGGAACGTGTACGTTGTAACGGGCCAGACAACTCACGGCTCTGCTGCCCGAGAATCGAAGATTGTTTACCGTTAACGCGAGATACAAGCACGGGATCTGACAAAGGGTTAAGCGAGCGTCCCGAATATCGGACGGACATGGAGCACAAGGCACGTATTGAACCGATTTAATTATAGTGTATATTGTGCATCAATTTTGTCGGTGTAACTTACATGGTCGTTCACTTAGAATTAAATTCATGATAGCTCTGCAAAAGACGTTGTAAAACCGTTGGTTGTACTAGCAAGGCAAAAGCAATGAGAATCGAGGACGGATCCGTTAAAATTGCAAATAATTCGTTGCAGTATCCGAATCATTATAGTTCTGATAAATCATGAAGACTCGTTATGGTGCAAAATGCAAGCAAACGAAAAACCGTAACTGTGCGTGTAGGCAATACACGACGGATTTGCTGATCGGTGATGGCAGTCGGTCATGATTACCATCGGAATATCTCAATATTTACGAGTATAGACCAATACGTGGGTAAATAATACATTTACATTATATAACGTATTGTCATCACATGTACTTGCGAAGAAAAACGAAGAGTTAATTATTTACTAGTTTATGCCTATATTCGTATAAATATTTCGTTTATGAGGAAAATACAGTTTTTAGTATTTATTGACCGAACTGTGTATATAATGTTTAAACATATTTTTTTTGTTACTCGTTCGAGCCTTGTTGCCGTACAAATTTCAACAACACAATTATATAAACAAGTACTTGTCACGTTTTTCTCTTTATTAGGATAACTACATTTATTCCTATTATTATTTCCAATTTTATCTAGCACCGCAGAACTCCATGTCAATGGTCGAAGCTTTGGAATGGATGAACTCCATGAAATGTCTTAGGCAGATCTGTAAGGATGATGAAAAATTCATGAACACAGACAGAAATCTAAATTTGGATAGTAACAGTGAGAGGGTGCGCGACAACGTGGCCAAGCTTTACGTCAGGTAAGTACTAACCTGAAGTATTATATGTTACTGATGTAAATGATCGTTTTGCGATTTGGCAAGAAAAAAGTGTATATTTATTCGTTCTTCTATTTTTCTATTGATTTTAGATATATGGTAACCAGTAATCAACTAAATGAATGTTACAAATACATTATACAACCACAAATACGAATTCTAATAAAAAAAACAGTAATGTGCATGTATGGACGTATATTTGAGCTTAAACAAATTCTTGTCAATGAAGATTCATCAATATATACGTACGTTTAAGAGTTATTAAATGTGTTTTATTTTATTTAGTGTGTTAATACTAAATATTCATTGATATAAGTACAGACCAATAATCACAGAATTAGTTTTTATGAAAATATTGTACGAAAAGTTTGAATTAAAAATACCTGAATATTTTCGAGAGGAGAGGCAATTATTTTTGAATGACATGGATAGCGAAATCGATAATATAAAAATATTATACAGCGTGAAAAACAATAATGATTTAAACCAACTACAAGAAGAAATAAGCATAACAGAAGAACAAAGTGTCTTTGATAGTCAATTCATCAGTCAAGAAGTAACAGAATCAAATTCCGTAAACGTTAATGAAGGTAAAATTGTTTCTATAGCTTGAGTTATTTTTAAATTAAATGTCATTGAAAAATAATATGAAATAATGTTAGAACGGTATGGAAAAATAGTTTATCGGTAAAATAAAAATAAAAAACGTAGTTTCACTTCTATTTTAAATTTCAAGCTACTTATACCAATGGTTCCCAATATTCTAAATTTTAAGGCCCCTTGTATATATTTAAAAACCTCACGCTGCCATCCTCAAAAGTTGAGCATTTTGACTACCTACCTTATTCCTGTATACTCTTTAAATAAATATAATAATATTATATAATATATATATATATATAGTTTATATATTGTTTTTAAATAATAGTTATTACATATTAACGTATTGACTATTATTTATTTTTAATGCAATTTTTTCATGTACTTGACATTTTCTTATAGGAGATATTATGACTTACAAAATACCAGATTTTAACATGACCGAATTACTAGACGAAATCCAAGAAAAACAAAACAAAGCGGACATGATGTTAAGGACAGCCTTAAATAATTATGAAGAACGTTTTAATCAGATCTACAAATTTATAATAATGGATAAGATCCAAGACCTTTTACAAGCATATATATGGATATATTATAAAAAAACTAAAAATTTACCGTCTTGGCCAGAAGACCCAACGCCAATGTTCACCAACAACGATACATCTACACTAAGTAAAGACCACGTTTTAAATACTATTATACCATCAGCAAAAATATAATGTTAATAATGATATAAATTTAGTTTTGTCGAATGCTGTCTTAAAGAATATATCGGATATTTACGATATGTTAGAATCACACGAACAAGTACCACTCGGTGGGCCAAACATTTTCAATACGTACAATTGGACAACTGAAGTAACTGAAATAATTGCACCGTTAATTGTAGGATTTGAAAACGAATCAACCAAAGAAAATAAACAGAATGATAACACAGTAAGCAAAGAATAAATGTATTATGTAAAAAAACAAATCATATGAACCCTACGCAAGTATAATATCCGTAAAATATGTGTATATAGGAAAAAATAAGTACAGGTGTAGAGGTTATTCAGGAAAAAAGTGAACTAACGAAATGGTTTACAGAAGTATTCGACGAATATGATAGATTTTGGACCGTAGATAGTGTACTTAATGAAAAACCTAAAGAAAATTTGATCAAAGCTATAATTTTTGCAAAATATAAAGTTGAACTTAGAACTATGGCGTATACAACTATGAATGAAAATCTTGAAAGGCTTAAAATAACGCGTAGTCGTGATATAGGTATGAATATTTGATTATTGAAGCATTTATAAGTAATTAAATAAAATTAACCATAGGAATAAAGTATGTAACACCAAAAACAAAAAAATCCAAATTCAAAGGTTCTAAAAAGAAATCTTCCAAAAATCTTCCCCCAACTTTGGAAGAGATATTAGAAGAATTTGTAAGAAATAAAATGCTTAAAAATTCAACAACCACTAAATTTGATGACTTTTTCGGAGAAGTGTCATATAGCGCTAATGTATTAAGAGAAGAACCACATTATTATGACCATCCGTATGGTTTAGGTGATTTACGCCAAGTACGTTCACAAAAGATATAGAGTGTTTTTCTTATATTAGTCATTATGCTTTGTACACATTATATCATATATCTTCCGAATATTATATTTTCTTTTGATCATTAGCTATAAATGTATAATTATTTCAAACAATTTATTTCTTAATTAATTTAAACGTTTTATTTTTTCATGGAGTTAGTATTAAACAATGTCATACATATTATACGCATAATATTATTTATTAAATATTTACACAGATTATTAAAGAACAATATGTAATTGGTTTGATTTCTTCGGACCTTCGTTCATTGAATCAAATACATTTTCATTCATCCTTTTTGATAGCTGGCCCTGAAAAATCTGGCAAGTCTTTATTAATAAACGCTATATGTACGGAAACTGGTTCGTTAAAGATTGAACTAAATTTTAAAAATTTGTTTGAATATTATCCAGATGTTAAAAAAATTAATACATTGGTCCTTAAAATTATCATGGTAATGTATTTTATATCATATTAAGAGCAATACAACTATTCCGGTATATCTTATACTATACAGTTTGCCCGAGCACATCAACCTGTAGTAATTGAAGTCGACTTAGCAGATATTCCATTTTATAAGAAAATTCCAAAAGATTTTAAAATGTTCAAGCCAGACTTAATGGTAAAATTGTTGTCAAAACTTTTACAACAACTAAAAAAAACTGAACGAGTAATAGTTATAGGGAAAGCCATAAGTCCATGGTTAGTTGCTGAAAAAAAATTGGTATGTGTCAAAGATACTATATTACTATATTTTTAATTTTAATACGATATCGTAAATTGTATTGATTAATAATATTAATTGTTTTTCAATTGATATTTCAATTAAAAAAATCAATAAATACCTACACAAAACTTAACAGTTAATACTAATTCGTAAGAAAAAGCTACCTCACTATTAACTCACATTAAAATAAAACCACTCCCGAAAAACATATGTTAATTTCTAAGTTTAATATTTTTCATCGTGATCTATGAGTCCCAAATAAAATACAATTAATACTTTATTAGTTAGCATGAGTATGATTTCTAAATGATGAATATACTGTAATAAATATATAATATATTAACTGATTTGTATAATATAAATGATTCCTAAATGAATTTAAGTATAAGATGATTTCATTAATTCAAATCCATTAAAACATTTCATACTACTAATCAGGCTTAAGTGATAAATGTAATAGATTATATTCGGTGATAATTCCAGTATCTATATAGATTTTACGGAGCATCCGAGGTGAGTCTCGGGTTCTAGAGGCTTATCGCAAGTATTGTACTAGTTGGGTCACGGATTTTTATAGGTACTAAATTAGTTGGGTTCTGAATTATTTTAGGTATTACATTAGTTTTTGAATATTTTTTGGAAAGTACTACATTTTAATAACATTTTCCTTCTCATTTTAACAGACTTAGATCTGTGTATGATCTATTTAGACCACAGGTATGGTGAAAAATTTATTTTATAGTTGTTTTTTTTTCTGTTTTTTAGTTTATTTTCCATTAAAATATAAATTATTAGAATTGTGTTGTAAAAATATTAAAAATGTTAAAAATTATATAATATAAATAAAAATTAATGGAAAAGAAACTAAAAAACAAAAAAAAAATCTATAACAATCATTTTTAACCATACATGTGGTCTAAATAGATCATACACAGTCCTAAGTTTGTTAAAATAGGAAGGAAAATGTTAGTATAATATAGTACTTACCAATAAATATTCAGGAACTAGTGTAGTACTTATAAAAATCCGGGACCCAACTAGTGTAGTAATTTTAAATTCGGGACCCAATTCGGATGCAGCCAGATTTTAATCTTAGCAATTTAATCTATGACGAACTCGTTGATCATTTTATTTTTCAAAATTAATTTTAATATTCTAATATTTAATGTTTTCATACTTAACGATCGAAAATAATTTACGTATATTATTACGTAAACTCGTACATTATCCAAGCGAGAATAAATATAGAATATTGATAAATATTTACTTTTAGACACGAGTATTTCAAACGATCTTGTTCACTGTACCTGACTACGAGACAATACTGTTATTCATCACCGATTTACTGATGAGTTATTCAATGGTTCGCGAAGAAATCCCAATTACAGAACTGACCACAATGATGTTTGGTTATCCAAGACAGATAATAGCCGATATAGTGGCAAAAGTAATGACCCCTGGAAGGGTGTTATCACTCGCGAATAATCGTTTGGATCCCAAAGAATTTATTCCCGTAATGATAAACTATCCAAAGGATCCAAATCTATGCGATAAATATCACAATTGGTATAGAAAATTTATACCTATGGGCAAAAGGAGAAGATTAGAAATGGAAAAAAAATAATAATATTAACAAATTAAAATCCGAAAATTAATTTTTAGAGTATCAACCTCAAAACAATTGTATTAAGATTTTATTTTTATTTTTTGTAACAAGTAATTAGGCGCTTAAAAAAGTAAGAAACGTAACGGAAACTTACAACAAATACAATTACTATGGTTTGTGTTGATGCAATGATGCAATAGTGCCCATACCAATCGATCCAAATTGAATGTTGAAGGAAAATCTAAAAATATTGTAACTGTGCACGTGTCAAGTTGTATCGAACATATTTGTTATAGAGTTGAGTTTGCACGTTATACTTATTTCTAAAGTCATCGCACGTTATGTCTAAACGCAATTCCAAATTTTCTGGTTGTCTTTGACTAATGTCTATTCCTACTGCACTGCGCACGTGGGGATGGGTGGATGAGTTTCTGTAGTTTCTTAGCGTGGCTATATACGAAATAGCAAGCATATGTCTTTCCCTTGAGCGATGCAACATAACTATTGCGGTTTTGTGTAAACGATAATATATGTTTCTAGTCTTACGAGGAAACACTAATTTTCGAAACACTGATTTACATAAACATAATTAACAAACATACATTTATTATTGATGGAAGTGTTGCATAGTCAAATCGTTTTTATAGATTGGAAATCCGTGCGATGTGTGTAGTACGAATGTCGTTGTACTTGTACAACATGTACTTGTTCAGTGGCGGCTCGTAAGGTTCATACAAAGTGGTGCGCAAATAATTTGTAAGATAATTATGTATGCTGGTTGAAAAAAAAAATTATTTTGTTATAGGTATTTAGAACACACATGTTAGCATTTAATTTTCTTAAGCTCTCTAAGCTTTTCGTCACGGTAAAATAAAAAAAAATAAAAATAAGCAAAAAATAGGTTATTTTGCATGAACACAAAATCCTTGATCGAAACGATATAAATAAGTCTGATGCTTACATACGTGCCCCAAACAATCATGTATAACTAATCGAGGTGTCTACGCGTGTTGCTAATTTTTCTCCGCTAATTATTTAATTGCTATCAAATACATTTCTCAACACACGAAAAACTGCAAAACATTTTTTTTTTTTTTTTTTTATAAATATTTTTGTTAATTATAAACTATGTGCATAATAACCGATTATAATTTACCATAGGAATCTAATAGTTTTTTTTATAATTTTTTTTGGGTGGTTTACTTGCTCATGCACACCATAGCACGAGTCGCCAAGGTACTTGTGGTTGGTTGATTTGGGAATGATACTTTTCAGTACTTTTCAACGGATTTCGTAAAATGATCGAAAACTAAAAACCAACGCATATATGCGAACTATAGTTCGCAACACGGCCTATGTTCCACAAAGCCGATCTCGTCTCGAAGTTTCCGTCAAATATTTTATTTTAGAATAATATATATACGCGATGTTTTTAACGGATATTTTAATTTTTGCTGTGAAAAAAATATAAAAAATATTGTGGTTCAAAAGCTTCAAAAGTATGAAATGTATTGTTCGAAAAGTATACGGTCGTATATCAATCATCCCAAGTGTAGAGGAACGGTCACGGCGATAACCACCCGTGACTAGTGCGCGACCTTGTCCTAAATCATAGGTCGTTGGTTGGCTATTGCAAGAAAGTATCCATGGTGATGATTGATCTCTTAAAATGCAAGATAAACAAAACCATATAATATCTTTATGGTGATAGTGAATGTATTTCTTAATTTGCACTGCGTATTAACTATTCGAGGCATATATTTTGGCATGAACCTAAAGAATGTAAACCAAAATATGGAAACGTATAAATTATCGAGGCTCTTCATCGCATCTCCATCCTTAGATAAAATAATTTAAAACGGTCGAGACGCAATACTTTTGTACATCATAATATAACGTTCAAAAAATAATTTTTCATAAAATATACAATTGAAATTATAGGCTATTCTAATGCCATTTGTAAACAATAAATTGGTACAATTTTTATATACAGTGTAAATAATGGTATTATTTTAAGCTTAATGAAAAGAAATTTTGTATCATTTATAATGAGAGTACAACGCGAATTATTATTATTATTTTTAAAAAAAAAATAAATAAATAAATAAAAAAAGAAATAAAAATAATTCCTAGTAGATATACCTATGAACTGGTGCATGTTAGAATAATCATTGTAGACGTATTCATAAAACTTGCTGTGATGCCTAATTTTAATACAAGATTTTGAACGATGCATTTGCGGTCGAATGTAATCAAATGCTAGTACAGAACACTGCAGGCACACAGTATTAATAAAATCATGTGGCTCAGATAAAGTCGTGTGATAAAGGATGAAGTTGTAACTGTATTGTTTTATAAGTATATCTAATTTTAAATAATTGCATTATTGAAAGGTGTTGTATTCAAATGGAACACAATAAATATAGTATAATTTATTTGATCTACGTAAACTGTTGCGAATCAAATCTACCAGCGCCAAAATCGTGTTCGGTGCACGTAAAAAGCCGGTGGATAAATATTGTTGATAATAATCCGATAAGTACGAGCGTTTTCTCCCTTCGCGTTATCGGGTTTTCGATCGCGTTTGCCGTATTGTTGAATACATGTACGGAATTATAATTATTGGGCGACCGGGCTTGCGCCTAATTCACGATCAAACACACGTCCGTAATAGCCCCCGCAATAATTGTTAAAACGTCGACATTGTAATTATTACAATGTCGACGTTTTAACGCGTTCGCGTGTGATAATCACTGTAATTATTTACCGTGCTCACCCGGCGTGCATTTTAATATTGGTAACGTACATAGGAGAGACGGCGTAGACGTGATAAAACAACGTTTTTGTACGTCGACCGTGGTTTTGTTGTCGTAAACGAAACCCGTTTGAAAAATAAGCTCGTGTAACACATGCAATGCGTGTGGCCCGATTTTTCCACAGTTCCGTCGATCCCATTCAGACCTTTTTAAAAGGAATAAAAAATGAATTCGTAATAAACAGCAATACGTGTATTGGTAGTAAAAAACGTTTTAATGCGTTCGCATAGGAACAATTCGAACAAAACCAACGGAGCAGTGCGGTTTAAAGAGTTTTGTTTACTCGATATTTCCGTCATATAAACGTCGTGTGCACTCTGGTTTCTCAGAAAACATCACACTTAGATGGCCATAAACATACAAGTATTTCCGATCGGTTAAAAACGTACGCGGTACAAAAAGACTTAAAATATACCGAACAAACATTATAAATTCTTTGACGAAAAATAAAAAACGCCTTACGTAGCAGTATAATGCAGCACCAAAGTAAACATGTGGCGTGATAATGGTTATAATAATAGTTATATGTAAACGAACAGCAATTTAAAAATAATAAAGACATGTCATGGCTATGCATAATGTTCGGTCGAACAACATTTTGAAATGTCTCTGTTGCCAGGACCCCACGGTTATCGGTACGTAATCGTACGTTCGAATATTGGGTGTATCGGAAAGGTCTGACGAATTTCGCAACGTGTATTGTGCATGGTGTATAAAAGCGTCGAGACACTCCACTTCGCCCTGTATAACATCGAAGCGGATCAAGCATTTCTGCAGTCTCCGTATTATGATCATACGTTCAGCGAATTATAGATAAACGGTTATAATTATTTTTGCACGATTACAGCAAACCAGCAAACCTTGATTTTGGAAACAACGCACTGTTATCCCTCAGTACCGTTACGGGAACGGTTTTTTCGATTTCCCCTGTGGTTGTACAGGTTATACAGAGTCGATGCCTGTACAGGATTGTTCGATACACGTAGTCCAAGCTACTTCGTGCTGGTGTATAATTTATTATAATGCCTAAAGATTATTCGTGATACCACTGCGTAACTACCGATTTGTATGTCATAATTTTGTATTTTTTTTATACATACATATATTTATAATAATTTTACAAATAAATATTTCGAAAATAAATAAAAAAATATTTTAGAGTGCGGAATTAAACGTTCTGTGAATCAGAATGTTTGAATTTTATATTAATCATAAACGCCAACAACATTTTTCACGTGATTGCTACATTAATGTAGTAAAAGTGTGAAGAGTCTAGGAGATATTAATCATTGCAATGTCCTTGATAAGAAACGTTAGTACGTGGGTGTGTATTTTTTGTTGCTAAAACAAACCATTATCGTTCCCGAGACAGTACTTCTTTTTTTCAATACATATATATATATGTAATTTCTTCCGAGTATCTGATAATATTTAGGCAAAAAGTAATGTGTAATCAAACGGGTTTTAAATAAATTTATATTGCAGTGCACCCGGGTCAGCCTACAAACTAATGAAATACGATCAGAGATTTGGTTTTTTTATTTGAAATTGATGCAAAAGTATTATTATAAACTATGGTAAATGCTTATGTTTGTTTGCGGGGGAGAGCAAAACATGTGGGTCTAAGTATACAATATTTGTAAATTAATATTATGGAACTTTATCCTATGGAGTAGCTGCCTACGTAAGTCGTTTGTCCGATTAATAAAACGAAAATAGTAGTTATGATATATATATAGTGTACATATGATATATATATATATAGCTAAGCTAATTAATTAAACATACTACATTTTGTTATATTTTATTTAACGCATTCGTATAAAACTAAAATGTGCGTCCATTACCTTGACCTCCCCCCGAGTTCCGTACAAATTACGTACTAATTGTTAACAAAATAAATTTTGTAAAATGAGTATTTTTACGGGAGGTAGAGGCTGGAATAACGTTACTCCAGCAAATTATATAAATTTGTGCAAATTCGTACAAATTACGTATTAGTTATGAAAAAAATCTTATATTTTTGGATGTGAGGGGCAAGTTAATGGATGTAAAAAATGTGTTGGAATATTAATATAATTTTTCCTGGTTTTTCATTAATTTTTTTTCTAAATTAAAATATACTAAATACTATAAAATAAAACGATTTAAATAAATAAATATAATCGTATTAATTAGTACGATACATTTTATTAATAATAA